CTACTTTAGGAAGACTTAGCCAATTATTTTCCATCTATAAGGAACACGCGAAGAAGCCTACGCTTATAAACAGGAGAAGGTCAATGAGGATTAATTATAAAAATTATGGTAATAAATGATACTAAGTTTTCTTAATTTTAAAGACTTGGAAAAAGAAATTTATGGAATAATTTTTCCTAAATTTTAGACCAAAGATACCCCAGGCTAATTGTAAATTATGACACAAATTAAAAATCAATTAGGTAAAATATAGCTGCATGTGATAGTTTTGATTAGAATAAATCGTGCTAATTATTTTAAACATACTACTTAATAAATCTCAAAGATGATTATGTTCGAAAATCGAATAATTTCTTCGGATTCTTTTAAGAATTTACGCAGGGGAGATGTGAAAAGTAATTGCTAAAATTTAATTAAGTCCTTTTATAAATGGTAACTTAATTAGCCGCTAAAATAATTAAAAAAATGAAGTTAAATTTAAAGAGCAGCTTTTCTCCGCTAATGTGTAAAACAACTTACTTGTAAGTTTTTCTACGACAGCTCAATAAATTTCACTTATACCACTCATTTGAGTTAGAGAATCGGTACATTGTCGCACTAGCGCGATAATATCAGCTTTCACAGTTGTCTAACTTACCCTAATCAAATACATAGAGTAAGTTAACATACAGCATCTCGTTTTTAACCACCTGGGTTATTCATTTACTTCATTTAATTAAAAAAATGAAAGTCTTTTAAAAGTTTGCATGTTACATGCGGTGTAAACAACTTCACATTTGTAAAATAACAATACTTTTATCCTCTTTTTTAATCTCTTTGTACCGCAAATGACTGTTAAATCGGTTTAGATGTGATTTTTTGTTATTCATAATCACTGACATTGCATTCTTTGTTTACTAACTTCAATCCAGAGATAATTTAAATAGAAAAGAATTCAAGAATGAAATGAGTATTTTCAACGTGGGTAGATACAGATTTTTAAAAGAGACATTTTAAATAGATCCTTGTTACTTAATAGTTATGGCTATTTCATTTTACACTATAACTTTAAACACAAAAAGTGTAGCTTTTATTTATGGCAACTTACTGATCTTCCTGTTGTTATTGATTTACATTTCCTAGGTCGTTTGCTGTCACAAGATTTTTACATCTTTTTAGTGACATTTATTTGCTGAAAACATCTGAATAAGGTTTACGAAATCTGCTGATTTAAGATTTAGTGTGAAATAAATTCCCTGGGGGAAACGGTTTTTCAAACATAACCAAAATTCTTGGTCCAAGCTAAGCTGTTTATGACAGATTGTAAATCAGTTTACTGCAACTTAATTTAAGTTTATAAATATCGTTTAGCTGTAAGGGAAGAAAATATAAAACGTGACGCTATGTAATAAAGATGGTGTAGCACACTTATTTAATGAAATCGTTAGATCTACAGATACATTAAAACTTTAAGTACGAAGATTTTGCATTACCTTGTCGATTTTAATGAAGCATTTCTCAGTCTGTATTGTCGCAAATTCAAAACTTGTACGTAATTAAAGTTCGAACAATTTTCAATTTATTACTTTGCTTGTTTGTAATTTCGAGAAACTGCAAAGTGTTGATAAGTTCTAAGAATGGCGTTTTAAGAGACATCGTTATGATACAGTCCTCTCTGTTATGTTTTTTATGTAGGTCTCCAGTTTGTTTTTTTATTATAAATAACGATGGAGTGATATGTTATAGAAGTATTAATGTATGTTTATATATATTTATGTTTACATAACAAGTGAAAATAAAAATACAGAAATGTCATTGTCTTAACTGTGTTACTGAACATCCTTAAGTGATGAATTCACTAAATGAAATTACAGTATAATTTTTTTTGCTTTTTAATAGTCAAAAACGAAACTTCCAAACTTTCAGGTCTGGTTTATAAAAGCGTTCTTAACTGCATCATGCGGTTTACTGATCAGGTGAATAAATTCGATAAATCATGTTATCAGAATCAAGCCTTAATGAGCCATTAAGTGTTTAATAAAGCATCCGTTTTTAATTTACTTTCCATAAACTGATCCTCAGAATTATTAATTGGTAAATACTTTTTTTAATAACGAACGCGTGGGAAACCGTCTAAAGTATTGTCTAGGGAATGGCTTTTATTAAAGTCAGCCATATAAATTCTGGTATTAACGATGTCTTGACGACAAAAAGGATTTAAAATATGATGTTTTTATTTTGGCGAGCAATTCAGGTAAATATCGGAAAGAGCTTTAAAATGGGGGATAATTGTCGTCTAGTTTAAGTGTGCTTTTAAATAAATTCCTCTTTACTCCATTAATATGTCTACGAAAATTTACCTCAAATGTTAAGAGAGGCTGGTGTTTAGTTAATAATCCCTGAAAGTTAAATGTTTCCTTTTCTTACAGACGAAATATCTAACAATGTACTTTTTTTTAAATCTATAGATTTTAATAATTTCAAGCAACAAATTTTTGCATGAGCTTTTGTGGTTAGAGCAATATTCACATGAGCTATCACTGAAGATATGTAACGTATTACATATTATTATATTTTATGTTTAAAATTATGTAGTATTTTTGTGTTTTTATTATTAATTATATACTAAGAGATAACTCAAACAGTGGAATTAGTCTATAAAAAAATGTCAATAATAATAATAATTGGCAACGTCGATTCACGGTAAAACTCAAAACAAAGAAATATCGTTAAAAAATTAACGTCAGCTCAATCGTGGACGACACGAACGTTGGAAGTTTAATATAATATATAATTGAATTTTCCCCCACTTAATGTCACCTTTCTTTAGGTAATCTTTTTCCATAGTACTTAGGTGTTATTTTTGCTGAAGTAGGGGCTGTAAAACGATTTTTTTTTAGTTTATCAAACAAACTCGACTCCAAATTGTAAAGTTACTTCGAATGGCCAAGTTATTTTTATTGGACGGAAAGAACTTTCACTATAAATAATTTCACATAATTTTTATCTGTTTTCATACATTTTGTTGGGATACTTAAGTTTCAAAGTATTATTTATGAGTTTGAATTATATATTTAGAAACTTTGAGAAGTTACAGTAGAGAAGAACGTTGAAGAAAAGCAGTTATAAATACTTCACTTAAAAAGATAGCCATTATACAAAAAATAAATTAGGAATCAGTTTATTAAAAAAACGTGTTCAGCGTATGAAAATTTTGTCATACATCATTATGTATAAAAATGTCTTTTATCTTCATTACATTATATAAAAGTGTGAACTGAATCGGTTTTCTTCTATTGTAATGTAATTGTTTACATTAATTTGTAATTTAAAAATTCGACTATTTTTGTTGGTTACCATAAAATGTAGTAGAGCTTTCGTAGTTAACAAATGCTCTTAATTTTCAAAAGAAAAATAAATGAAAAACGTCGATGCTCCAACAAAGTTGCTTTAAAGCATAATTTTATGGAAAGGACTTGGAGTTTCTTTCAAACTTCGTTGCAGGTTTTCATCAAATTTAAAGTGATTGTTTTAATTAATTCTAAAATTCATGTTAAATGTTCCTAGGTGAATTATTCAAAAATAATCAACACTACAAAGCGTTAAATAATTTAGTTCAGCTGTCATGAACAGTTGCTCATGTTTGAATTGATATTGCGTTCAAAAATAAATTGATGTAAATTTGAATTTTAAATAAACCATGTAAAGATTTCGACACCATTCATTTTACTACATTTTTATTACTATTACTTTTAAAAATATCAGCTTCAGTTTTATGAAGATACGGAGTCACATCTGTCTAAAATTAACTAGTTTATATGTTTCTTTCTAAACAAAAAAATAACTTGAAATTCTTTCAAAACTACATTTTCAGTGGTCATAGTTTTCGCGTAATTAAGTAGCAACAAGAGGTTTTCTGTTTGCTATTTGCTCACTAGTGCTGTTATACTAAAGTCTGAATAGATTACTAGCATGCGCAATAAATAATAGAGGTATATAACAACGCAAGTCGTGTACAAAGGAATTGTTTAATTGATAAATTCGATATTATTTTGTCTGATCAGATTATTAAACACGTGCCTAGCCTTATATACTATTACACAATTTACAAACGAAGGTAATTTAAAAAATCAATACTTAATTACTTTGATGGAAAATTTAATAAAAATCCTACCTAGACTTTATTTAAACTCGCTTAATTATACCGTTATTTTGTTAATCGATGAACACATACAAAAAAATCTATAATAATATATTGAAAGCTGTCGGCATTGTAACCTTTTTCCTAAAAACCTTTCTAAATTTTATCAAGTGTCGATTTCCTCATTGTCGATTTTCCGACAGTTTAACTCTCCCTTGTCATTCGCGCTTACCTTCTTCAAGATTTCGAGATCAACATGGTGGCAGCTTAACGATTTTCTTGCGGATGAAAAAAACAGAATCTAATTTCGTTCGATGCTTTAGTGCGAAAAAAGTATCAAAAAAAATAGAACAAAGGATGTTTGAGGTTTAACTTAGTTTGAAATTAAACGTAAAATATAGCTGCGTCTACAGGTATAAACAGACCCTTTAACCCCGACACTGTTATAATATTTTCACAAGTGCTTTAGGCGCTAATTTGCAGCTCCTGTTTTTTTTGCTACATAAACCAGAAAACAGTGAAATAATTACTCAGGAGCGTTTCAGGATCACTTTATATTGATTTTAAAACTTGATCTGACTTCCATAATTTTTACGTCGCAATCAGGTTAAAATTGGAAACGTTAAATAGCAACTTTTTCAGTGTATCGACATGACAACGCATCGCAAAAAATTTCAATATTCGCACGTTCACACAAGTTTCGCGAATTTCTATGAGCTTTTCATGTGTGACCAACTAAAAACGGATAAAAGCAGTTGGGAAGCTGAAAAGCTCGCCACCCTACGTTGTTCATTTGATGTCATAATTAGCGAGAAGTACAATGAAATAGCAACAGACTGCAACTTTCCGTTATCAGTACGGAGATGTGTAGATCATTACCGGATCAACACAATGGAGGAACAGTTTCAGTTAGTAGCCAGGCGTGCAACCGGAACGACGACACTCCGAAAGTTAGATGTCACGAGATTTTCCTGAAGGAAACAGTCGATTTTTTAAATTTTACAAAATGGATTTTAATCTAACTAGTGAAAGAGAAGGGTAAGTTTATTGTGCGCTTAATTTAATTAATGTTAGTAAAGACACATTGCTATTTTTCATAAAAATGATTAGTTTTGTTGGGGAAAAAAATCGTGCGTCACATTTTATGAGACGACGTTTAATGAAAAAATATTCGATTAGTAAAAGTTAAATTATCTTTTTAAGGCTACGCGACGACGTTAGGATGAGAAATTACGTGGAGATTAAAATTAATGGAAGATTTAAAAGGGCAGGTGCATTGTTAAATGTCAATTATAATAATCATATTAATTAATAAATTAAAGTTTTAATTAAGTAAATGTTCAGGTTATATAATTTTATATTTTTTCATTGTGCGTCTCTCGTTAATTAAATCGTTCATCATTAACGCCATCCAAGTCCAATCCACGTAACTTCTTTGCAATATTTAAATGTCACTTTTTTTTTTAAATTGTAGTAACTTAAAACTCAACAAGGCTGTGGTCGATCTATTTCCTATTTTAAATAAATTTTGCGAGGTAAAAAAAGATGTGTTCAATCCCGTGATACAACACGAAAGTTACTAAAAGTAAAGTTCGAAGAACTCAATTTTTTTAAAGCCCCACTGACATGTCCCATTAGTTTCAACATTTTGTTTTATTGCTGGTATTTTTTCCCAACAACAAGGCAATATAACCCAACTACAATAACACAGTATTTAGATAACAGAAGTTGACGCGATGATAATTGCATTATTTAGGTAATATTTACCGACTTTATTGTCATTGTTTCCATCTTTTCACGGCTGTGTTCGTGTCTGTGCTTGACGTTTGGAAATGAGTATTTTATTTTTTAGTGTGTTTGCGGAAATGAGGAAACCTTCATATTGAAAAGAAACTCTGCGGATCTATCCGGCATGGACTCGAATGAGTCCACAGAATCTCCTCTATGGACCTACATCCACGAAAACAGAGGTCCTCAACAGCAACCTTTCGAGATGGCCGTCCCTCTAACAGTCGTAAATGTGTTGATATTTGTCTCTGGTCTGCTTGGAAATACCGCTGTATGCATTGTAATCATCAAGCATCGTTCGCTGCACACCGCAACAAATTATTATTTATTTAATTTAGCTGTCAGCGACTTGACTCTTTTGATATTCGGTAAGTTGTGTGTAATTAACTAACCCGAGAGAATGTTCGTCGTGAATCTCGATACCGACACGATAATAAATCTAACATAAAACAACTTCTGGCACTAATTTGCAAATTACTGAATCGTGGAAAAACAGAGCCGCCACACTGAGTAATTATCTGATGGAGTTTCAAGTGGCGAATAATTAGTAGCGTCAAATTAGAAATAAGATAACGGACGTCATGGTCAACTACTGTGGGCGTCGGTACACATTTTGGTCAGCAAATTTTACGTGCAATTTAATGAATTTTTAATGAGTTATTAGAAACTTATTGCATGTTACACGATATTGCTGTGTCGGAGTGCATTCCCAGTTATCGTGTTACTAAAAGGGACACATTATTAAAAACAAATTTGTGCTGTTTTATTATTTACAGTTAGTCTGTGCACATCATTCGTGATTTCCTGAGATTGTACTTCTTTATGTTTCGAAAGTAATAGAACGATGACATTTCAGAATAGAAATAGAGACTATATTATAGTTAAGATTTTCAGAAAAAATGTGATTTTTTTATCAAAATGAATCTAAATTCGACCCGCTCTGTCATCGATATACAGAATGTCCTAGACAAAACCCCGCTTTATTTTGAAAATGGCTAGGGATATTGAAATTCTGTAAACGTTTTAACGATCTGTCAAAATTCGTTAAAAAATTAAGTAATTTAAAAAAAATTGATCGAAAGTTGTTTCGACAGAACTTCTCTCGCTCCTGAAGTACAATGAAATATATCCAGCATTTTCGAGTTTAGTTTTTCTTTACACAATTTAGCAAGGACAGGTATATCAACTTTGTGCAGAGTAATACTAAAAATAACAAAATTAATTAATTCATTATTTTTTGAGCTACCTGTTTAAGCAAATCTAAAAAATTTAAATGCAGTGATAAATCACAAGTAAAAGGTCTTCATATTTTGCACATTTTGGGTAGAATTTATTCGGCAAAATTTTGAGAAACAGATTCTGATTAACCATTACCATGTTTACAATAACTTTAAAACGTCTGTGAGATTTCGAAGTATTCAGTTTTGCAATTCTTGATTTATTCAATTAAATAAATTGACTGACTGATTAATTTTTTAGAGTTACCCTGTATAAGCACATCTAAAAATGAGGTTCTTAATTTGATTAATTAAAAATTGGTTGAAGGCTATAAGTATAATCCAACAAATCCAACTCTTTAAAAAAATTAGAAAATTTGATTTTACGATTTTGGTTTGGTGATGGTCGCTGTAAAGTAAAAACTAGAGGCATAAATAACACCCCTTGTCCTTCAGCACTACTAATGTAAAAAATTGGTCTAAAGAGTTTAGACAGTACTTCCCTCGCTGTCGGAAACGTGACGACTGCATGTCTATTATGTTTTTTTTCGCAGTAGATTTCATTTTTTTTTGAGTCACCCGGTATATGCAAATTCAAAAAATATGAATGGAATGATAAATTACAAGTACAGACTCATCATATTTTGTATATTCTAGATAGGATTTATTCGGCAAACTTTTGAGCTGACGTCATCAGTTTTTTGTAGAAGATAACCAAATACTTATATTTTGACTAAAAATTTATTATGCTCTTTATAACCTTAAAACATTTGCAAGATTTCAAAACATTCGGTTCTGGAGTTCCTGATTAAATCAATAAAATACATTTACCCATTCATTAATTTTTTTGCGTCACCCTGTATATGCAAATACAAAAACTATGAATGGAATGATAAATCACAAGAAAAGACTCATCATATTTTGTACATTTTAGATAGGATTTATTTAGCAAAATTTTGTGGTGACGTCATAAATTTTTTAGGGGAGATGAGCAAATACATTTTGATCAAAAACTTACCATGCTTATGATAACGTTAAAACACCTTCAAGATTTCAAAGCATTCGGTTTTTTAGTTCCTGAGTAAATCAGTAAAATAAATTTACGCATTCATTATTTTTTTTTAGTCACCCTGTATATGCAAATCCAAAAAATATGAATAGAGTGATAAATTACAAGTACAGACTCATCATATTTTGTACAGTTTAGATAGGATTTATGCAGCAAAATTTTGTGGTGACGTCATAAATTTTTAGGGGGGAGGACCAAATACATTTTGATCAAAAATTTACCATACTTATGATAATTTTAAAACATCTTCAAGATTTCAAAGCATTCGGTTTTGTAGTTCCTGATTAACTCAATAAAATAAATTCACGCATTTATTAATATTTTTTTAGTCACCCTGTATAAGAAAATCGAAAAAATTTGAATGGAATGCTAAATGACAAGAAGAGACTCACCATATTTTGTACATTTTAGATAGGATTTATTCAGCAAAATTTTGTGGTGACGTCATAAATTTTTTAGGGGGGATGAGCAAATACATTTTGATCAAAAACTTACCATGCTTGTGACAACTTTAAAACACCTTCAAGATTTCAAAGCATTCGGTTTTGTAGTTCCTGAGTAAATCAGTAAAATAAATTTACGCATTCATTAATTTTTTTTAGTCACCCTTTATATGCAAATCCAAAAAATATGAATGGAGTGATATATCACAAGCACAGACACATCATATTTTGTACATTTTACATAGGATTTATTTGGCAAACTTTTGAGCTGACGTCATCAAGTTTTTGGAGGGGATAACCAAATACATTTTGAGTAAAGATTTATGATGCTCTTTATAGCCTTAAAACATCTGCAACATTTCAAAACATTCGGATTAGCAGATTAAAAATTAAATTGCAAAATGTTGTTTTATAATTTTGATTTTTTTTCCAAAAATATGGACGTTTCGGGTAAAAACTCAATTCGGAGTCGTAAACTACATGTTTAGGACTATATTATTTTATACAATTTAAAACCCATTTACTATGTACAATTTTGAAGTGACGTCATCACATTAGTGGTGGGAATGATTAGACAAATTTTGGTTAGCGTTTTACCATCTACATGATATTCCTAATATAACTACAAAATTTCACAACAATCGGTCCAGTACTTTCGGAGATTATCTGTCTAATAAAAATCCGGGACGGCAGACAGACGGACAGACGGACGGACATACGGACAGACGAACAGACGGACAGACGGACAGACGGACAGACAGACGGAAATGGGAAACCTATTTCTTCGTCTTCTAGGGGTCATGAAAAATCGAGAAAACGTAAAAGTAGAAAGTCGGCCGACGGACTCGAACACAATACTTCCTTTGCTTACGCTCGGGAAGTAAAAATGTGAATGCAGTGACAAATCACAAGAATAAAGTGATAATATTTTGCACAATTCAGAGAGTATTTATTCGACAAAATTTTGAAATGAGACGTCAAATTTTTTGGGCGGAAATAAATGATTACATTTTGTTTATCGATTTACCATAAATATGATAACCTTAAAATGTTTGCAAGACTTCAAAACATACGATATCGCAGCTCTTTATTCAATCAATAAAATAAATAGAATGATTAATTAATTTTTTTGAGTCACCCTGTATAAACACATCTGAAAACTATGAATGCATTGATGATGACAATTAGATGGGATTTATTCGGCAAAATTTTGGGGGGGAACCAAATATATTTTGATTAAAGATTTACCATGCTTATAATAACTTTTTTAAACATCAGCATTTCAAAGCAACTAAAACACGTGGAAACAGAAAAAAAAGTAAAAAAAGTTGTAACACTAAACATTAGCGTAAATTTATAAATATTCAAGTGTCCCAATATATGTGACATTTGCAATGTATTAAATTAAGCTTCCCCCTTCAAGCTATAAACAATGACATTAACAGAATTTCAATATTTTTATTCGTTCTCAGAACATAAGGCTCTAGAGTTTGATTTGGGACGTCTGTATATGTTATACTTGAATGTCGTGAATTTAAAAAATTTTAATAAACACCATGTGGACGAGTGGGGTATTTTATTTAGGTAGTACAGTATAACCTCTATAATCCGAACAAAAACTCTGCAATCCGAACTGAACTTGAAAACATGCACCTACTTGCAAAAATGACGCAAAATCTTACTGCAAGTGTTGTATTGAATTTTTTGAATTTTTTAAAAATTGCGATATTTCAGTGCACTGAATTAATTAACTAATTCTGGAAAAAAGGTTGAAGTTATCAAAAAAATGAGGCCGGAAGTAACTTCTGCGGCCCCAAATTTACAAGAAAAAGTGTTTAGTTAAATTTCAATAAGATAAGATAAGACTGATTTTGACAAATGACATACCTTGTAAGAAAATACAGGGTGGATGGGCGGGGCTAGTAATTGATAAGGTAAGACTGATTTTGGCACTTTTGACATGTTCGACCACTTTTCAACTATCTTCGAAAATTTTTGTTTCTATTTTTATTTTCTTTCTTTTTTCAATATTCATATTCTATAATTTTTCTTTTTTTTCAATTGTTTTTAATTTTCAACTTTTAGATTTTTTCATTTTTCGTTTCTTCAACTTTTGAATTACAATTTTTGTAGTTTTCATTTTAACAACTTAAAAAAATTTCACTTTTGCAATTTTAGGATCTTGTCCTCTATTTTCTTAGAGGATATGTCATTTGCCAAAATCAGTCATATCTTACCATGTACTAGCCCCGCCCACTCGTCCTCTATTTTCTTAGAGGGTATGTTATTTGCCACAATCAGTCTTATCTTACCCAGTACTAACTAAGGTAAGACTGATTTTGGTACTTTTGACATATTCGACCACTTTTCAACTATTTTCGAAAATTAGCCGAAACATTTTCTTGTAGTTTTCGATATCCAGAAATCAATTTCGGCTTCGTTTCCTCGAAAATTCCTACCGTTTTTTCGTAGTTTTGTCAAGATAGCTCGGTCAACTTTTTTTTCGATTTTTAAAAATAAATTAATAAATAAATAAAATTCTGAAAAAATTCAGGGATATATATATCTCGACATGCTGATTCCAAAAATATAGAGTGTTGATGGTAACGGAGCAACATTTTCGAAAGAATCGGCATGAAATGAGAATTTTTGAAAATTTCTAAAAAGTTCGATATTTCAACGGTCGATTCTGGAAAAACGGTTGCAGTTATCAAAGTTTGGTTTAGTTAAATTTCGAAAATCGTCGAGAATGGGTCGAAATTTGCATAAGTGATACCTAATCCGAATACACAATGGAAAATTTTTGAAAACCATGTAAAAATTCTAAAAAAATTCAGGGATAAAGATCCCAACGTGTTGATTTAAAAAAGATAGCGTGTTTATGGTCACGACGTAATATTTTTTTCGAATGTATTTATTATCCATTAATCTATTGTTGGTTAAGAATCCTTTATTTCTGTTAAAAAAATAAGGTTTATTTCTTGAAGTATGTTTTCAGCAGTGTATTAAGTTGTTATTCAATTCTCTTTCAGATTTTTGGGAAATTCGCTGATCCGAACAAATCGCTAATCCGAACACACCTTTTCCGCAATTAATTCGGATTATCGAGGTTATATTGTAATTTGACGTGAAATATAGTACAGTTTTTTGTTGCGATTTTCAAAATAATCACATAATAAATTTGTACATAAAATTCATTCCAAAACCTGAATACATATATAGAAGAGAGGAATTGAAATGAAAATATGAATGCAATGCAAAGTGTTAGGAGTAGTATTTTTTGAATTAATTTTTGGTGTTGTACGCAAAAAACTAATTAAAAGAAATTAAATTAAAAGACTGCAAATTACAAAAAGCCATAAGAATAACAAAAAATCTGCATAACAAAATTTATCTTGTGAAACCCGTGTACGTGGTACGTGTTATTCACACTGCTGACAATGAATGAAATTAGATTTTATTTGCTACCAGATCACAATCACGACATTATTTATGTTTCTAAATACCACAACACAATTCATCAATTAAAACCATTCAATCAGAATAAGTTAAACAATATACCTATATATTATTCACGAATCACAAAATGTCATTACAAATGTTAACAAAGCAATTAATATTAAATTTGACAAACAAGTACCAAACACTGGGGTACACATTAATGATTAATGTTTGCTTTAATTAGCGCATTCTAAAGCTCTACATTCTTTTCTACAAAAATTACAGCCGACACTGCTTTTACTTTGTGGAAGTTTTCTTTGTGAGTCTCTACGATACTAATGTTCTTTCGGTTCCTATGGCGTGTATATATCTATTTCTTTCAACTTACTTTATTTTACCGAAATAAATATATTTTATGAAACGTTGTTTCGTTTGATTTAGCATGAGATAACTGAGCTGAGAGAACATTGTTTCGAATTTCATTTTCCTATTCTTGCTGATTCTATTAGGATAGTCATCTTCATCTTCAGAAAATATAAACCAAATTTTATTAGTTTCAACCTAAATATTAAAACTCATATCAAAAACTTCATCATAAAGCCTGTAGAGAAAAAATTCATAAATTGCATCCTGCAGCAATCTTTCCTTTTGCGAAAATGATATAGGCACCACAGAATCTTTTAACTCCAGTATCTGAATTTATTAAGATTTTATGTATTACATGCTGAAAATTCTTTTGATCAAGAAAACGCACGGCAACTTCAACATTTATAAAACTCCTTGAAAATAATAAGAACAAAAAACAGTAAACAGAACGTAATCTGATGAAGCTGTTTTTGCTTTAATATTAAATATTGCTTTTATATTACGTGTACTCAAAAAATATGGATTGAATTCCTTCAAAGTTTAAACAAAGAAATTTGGCAAACATTCTCGGACAAGCTTATTAACTAAGTACATTGTTAATTTTTACAGTTCTGGATGACATCAATAAATAAATTTTAGCGTTTTCACATACTGATGATGTCTTTAAAATATACCTACTTAAATTAATGTTTTAAAAAAAGTGGGTTTTGTAAATGCCAGACAAAATAGCTGGCGTTGCTATGTAGAGTCAATAAAACATAAAATTATGAATTCGTAACAATATCCTGGTACAATTCCTCCCTTAGCTATAATTCAGAAAATAAAAATATTAAATTCTGCCTGCCTCGACGGGGCCACGGCTGCATTGCATTGTCTTATTTACAACATCTAAGCTGTTAGTTGGTTATACAATTCTAGTTCTATTATTTAATAAAAGCGCAATTATATATTACGACTTAGAGGAAGCTACCTCTTCAATATAGCAACAAAATAAGAGAAAGGAAAACATTTCTTGCAGTTAAGTCAAAGAATGAAAAATGAAAAATTGTTCACAACAATTTATCATTTCAATTGCTTCCCGGCTGACGGAATTGCATTATTCAATTTCAACGTAGCAAGTGACAGTGGAATCCAAGCACGTCTTTAATCATCATAAAGCGAACTAAACATTTATTTACATGTACAGGGTGTCGTTTAGTTTATCCTAAAATTTTTGTCGTAAGTTCTGCAGTCAAGAAAAAACTATAAACCTTCCAGAAATTTTACACTTTATTTTTAACTTTATAGATTTTTACAGACTATAGAGAAATAATTAGCATAGTTTTTAACATCATATAATTAATATATTAAGTGACAAGTAATTTTATTTTAAAATACAACTACGTAATTTTCAAAATTTTTGAAGACCGATTAAAAAATTCAAATTTAGTTAAACATAAAAATTTGGTTTCCAACTCTAGCACTACTCAATTCCACCTACTACAGCTATTCGATTTCGCGCTGCATTCAGGTTCGTGATGCCATGTGCCACATTTGGCTCTTATAAATAACATTAACATCCACCCGAGTAATGATGATTTTAGCCAACATATTTCTACGTTATGTCTTATTATGAATTTATTAACAATAAATTTTATTTTTTCTTTTGAAGGTTACCAGCACAGTTTCAGATTTTTGCTATTCCCCACCTAACCTCTATGATACCTCCTGTATATTTATGTTGCCCTTCGATCGATTTTGCATTATTTTTTAGGTCTTCCCAACGACGTCGCGCTTTATTGGCATCAATATCCGTGGACTCTGGGTGACGGCTTTTGTAAGCTGAGGGCTCTTCTCTCAGAAATGTAAATACAATAAAAAGTGTCGGTTATCGGTTCATCACTACCATTTCAGGGCATCTTACGTCTCAGTGCTTACGATTGTGGCTTTTTCAACGGAACGATACCTTGCCATATGCCATCCTCTGTACTTGCATACGATGTCTGGTTTGCAAAGAGCCGTAAGAATCATAGTCTGTTTATGGCTCATCTCCTTTTTCAGCGCTCTACCGTTTTCGTTATACACGGAAGTAGACTATTTGTTTTATCCTGAAAATTCGACAAATATTGTGCCGGTAATCGCGGGCCGATTGGCGCAATTTAATTTTGTTTAAATTTTTCCCTCATTTTAGGAGACTGCGTTTTGTGGGATGATGTCCCAGCCGGAAGGAGTCCCCATGACCGAAATAAGCACTTTGGTATTTTTCATTATTCCGATGTTCGCAATAGCTGTGCAATATACCAAAATGGGACTAGAAATATCCAAAACCACTAAAAAGACTCTGGGGAAGGGTTTAAAAGGTTCTGTCCATAGGGATAGCAGAAAAACACAGTCCAACAGAAGTGTAATCAGGATGCTGAGTAAGATACTTGTAGCTATGAAAGAGGTCATTACACGCGTCCAGTCAAACCGGATTTTTTTTTTATTTACCAAATAAATCATCAGTACAACTTTTTTTGTGCCAAATGGTGTCCCTTTGGGATTTATCTTCCTTTAAATTAAGCCCTTTTACCGAAAGAGAATGTTTATTTAATTTTATTTTAGTTCGAAATACATATGCAATGAACATATCTGAAAAAATTCACACCAAGAAAAGCGAAAAGTTTACGTAGCATTTACCATGCAAAATTTTGAGATGATGATTTTGAATTATTGGTGGAAATGATTAGACAAATTTTTTCATCACTATATAAAAATAAATGTTTTGTGATTTCGTATTAGAAAAAACAGTAGCTTATTATCTTTAATTATAGTATTGACACAGTTTCCTTAAATCGTGAGGAAATTTTAAAGGTCTTGAAGTTGAAGACATTAGATTAATTTTTAACATTGATTGTGTCAAAGCTTATGGTTTCAATTACAAAAAGTGTAATGATTTTACCAACATCTCTACCTTCTGCAGCCTGTACTAAGTATTCATTAGTCAGATCTTGAATTGAATACGGAGTACTAATATGGTTTCCACTTTATGAAATTCATATTAAAAATATAGAATCCATTCAACTATCGTGTTCTCAGTTATTATATTTCGAATCTTCTAAAAACTTACAAATTTACTGATGTACCAAAACTTTCCTCGCCTCCAAAGCGAAATTAAAACTGGGTGCATCTTAGGGCTTATTTATGCTTTAAGACGACTTTTTGCGTAAACACAACGCTACAAATTTCCTAGAATTTTAGGGAGATTAAATGAGTCGTCTCTAGGATTATTGATAAATTAATTCAGTTCGTGTGCGAGCAATTGTAAAATGTAATGTTAGTGAAATACAAATAATGTTGCACTATTTTTAAATTCATTATGATTTTGACTGAAATTATATTTATTGAATGAAACAAAGTTATGCATATCTAATACTCTTGAAATTGTAAAAATGTGTGATGAAAATGGTATTTACTAAAACTGCATTATAACTTACCTGCAGACGTTACATTGACGTCTAAATATTTCGTCTGAAACGATTGTAGAAAAGCACTGTATTGTAAGTTTTATTTGTCGCTATCTATTGCATCGTTCCTAGTAATAAGCAAAGGATTCTCATTTCATACCTGCTATTTGTTCTACAGCGCTTTCATCATTCAATTGAAAGTTGGCTTCTATTTTTAGTATTTTAAAATTGTTTTTAACCGTAGGTGCAGTGGTGATTGGCTTTTTCGTCTGCTGGGCTCCATTTCATGCTCAACGCTTATTGGTTATCTATGGCGCTGATTATCGCGAAGTGAACACTTGGATGTTTTTTATAACAGGAATACTTTATTACTTCTCTTCAACTTTAAATCCAATTCTCTACAACATAATGTCCGACCGAATGAGGAGTGCATTCAAAGAAGTTCTTTGCGGAGTCAAACGGAAGAGGAATAAAAAGCGCAATTCGACCTTTCGAGATACATATTCGCGTTCGTACAATATAAGAATCCAAAAATCCCCTAGCCGAATTGAAACAATTATCGATGAGATTGACGAGGACAAAATTAATTTAATGAACAAAGAAATTGTGTCGGTGTCAATTCCAGATACTGAAAGCACGCTGATTTATGAAATTCGTTATAAAGCCAAAGAAGCCGGGAGCAACAACGAGACCCCGATGTAAAAAAAATTGGAATTATAAACCAATTTGTTCGGACGGTTAAAATCAGCCGAAATTAAGTTAACGTGGCTCAAAGGACTTATTTCAGCGTCAAGACTTTCATTGTGTAAAGGTACCTGTGTTCTGTGTTCCAAGACTAATGTGCAACTCGTAATTTTAACTCGAATGATGTAAGTCAAGATATTTTTCTGTGATCTATGGTAATTATTGTATACCTACATTAAAGCTGTAAGAAAATGGTATTAATAAATATTTAAACTGTTGTAAAAACTAAAAATTTCTTATTGTACATGGTAATATTGCAATTTTTTATTGCTAGATTGCTGTAATCAGTGCATGTCGGATATCTTAAAGGGAAAATCTGGATGTTCATCAAGACTGAAATAAGTAAAAATCAGTAAAAAGGATAACTAACAATAATTAATATACCCTTCGAAAAATTTAAAATCGCGGACTCTACCTTTCTCTCCAACTTCCAAGTTAAGAAGCTTCTTAACATCACCTTCATCTAATGCAAAGTCGAATATTTCAATATTTTCTTTAAGTCGTTTTTCATTTGTAGATTTTGGAATGCACGCAATTCCTTGTTGAATAAGAAACCTTAGCATAACTTGGGCTGGAGTTTTCAAATATTTTTTGGAGATTGTGTTCACAACTGGATCTCCCAAAATGTCTGGCAATTGTCTCTCTCTATTAAAATTCAAACAATTACGAAAAATGACGCCCAAAAATTAATTTAATCCTACTTTCGTCCGGTTTGTTTCAAAACTTTATTGTAGCCAGGCGCACCCAGTGGCGAAAACGCGACCACAGTTATACCACATTTGTGACAAAAGTCAACAAGCTGCCGCTGTTGCAAGTAAACATGAAGTTCGACTTGCAAATTCGCTGGCTTTATCGTTGCATATTTAAGAACTGTTTCAATTTGAGCAATGTTGTAATTTGATAAACCAATTGTCTTCGTTCGGCCTGCACTCACTTGTTCCTCCATTTTCTAAAAATAATACAATATTAATGTGCAAGTCCACATTTAAAGTTGATAAATTTACTCTCCAAATACCCTCATGATCTGTTTTTGGTTCCGCAATCCAATGGTTTTCTGCATTCGACACTGGTCGACCTGAATTTTCGTCATATTTAAATCCAACAGGAAAGTGTACCAAGTACAGATCTACGTAATCGAGCTGTAAATTCTGCAAAGATTTCTTCATAAAAAATTCCACCCTGTCAGGATGTACACCATACATCGGGAGTTTTGTGGTGATGAATATATCCTGTCGTTTGAGTTTTCCGGAAGCAAACCATTCTTTTAATGTGTCTCCAATAAATTTTTCATTATCATAAGCGTAACCTGTATCGATGTGGCGATAACCCGCCTCGAGGGCTGCGTTTAATACAGCTTTAGTTTCCTTTTCATCTGTAGACTGAAAAAACGGTATTCGATTAGACGGCTCAAGAAAATATCTGCAAAAACAGATAAAATTCGTCTTTGCTCCGAATAATCGCCCGTATGTTTAGGATATTATATTGCTCCTTAATCAGGACGAGATCACTTCAACTGTCCACCGTCATTCCGTGTCAATACGCAAAGACGCCGCGATAAATTAAAAAATAAAAGAATAAAAGGAGAAACAAATCAAGACGACAAAAACTTTTTATAATTTGAATTAGGGAATTTAAACTAAGGATGTCCACATTATTTTCATTTAAACTATAATTATTCAACATCTAACAAACAGGTGAATGTTTGTGAATAAAATGTTTTCATTGTTTTCTCTTATTAACTTACGGTACTTAAAGAAACTTTAAATATCAGCTTTGGGTTGTTTATTAAAGCATCAATCATTTTATACATACACGGTGAGTCACGAATAGCAACCCAAAGTACATTGTCATAGAATACTTCACAAATTATATTCATTTGAATAATTTTAATATCAGAATTATCCAATTTTGAGAAACGTCAAATGTGTTAAAAATAGACTGCAAATTGTAATTAAAAATACAGTAAATTAAACGTACAACAAAGTAAATTTTAATACGCACTCCTTTCACATTATCAAGCTCCTAGATGGTTCACGAAAAAAGTCCGAGCACGTCTCAAAATATCACTTTAAATTTGAAGCGATCAAATGATTTAAGTTATAATATTTTCAAAATAACCAATACAAATCTTTATTGAAATTAAATATCATTCCCAAGCATGTCAATTTTGACAATAGCAAGTAAGATGTGGTGCAGTTCTACCAATTTCAAGCAAAATTTTTTCATGCCAACTGAAACAGTTGGATCACATTGTACATTATCGGCATACGCCTAACTTTGACGTTTTATGTCTCTACATCCAAAGAATTAGACTATTAAGCGCATATAGATGCCGGGTGACCAGAAGGAGCGGCGGCGGCAGATAAAAGTATGCATTTGTCTAGAAATAAATGAAATTTGGTTGATTTTGTCTCCTGAAAACAGAGGAAAAGCCTAATTATGAGTTAAGCTACAGCGGAACAAAATGTTCTATGTTTGTTGGGACATTAGCAGCTGCTGCCTTTTTAAAAAATATTTAAATGAATAATTAGCGAAGTATCCTGCGAAAATGTATTTTAGGTTGCATAAAGACGACTATAAAAACGGAAGTTATTCGTGACTCAACCTGTATAATAAAAACACTCCAAGGTGTGATCACCGTTTGTATAAACTGAAACAGGCGACCATTTTTTTTCTTGGCATCTATAGGTGAAATACGATGGATTACGATGGAAAATCGTTGCAAAATTGATGTTCACTACAACTACTTCTCCTAATTTATCAACATTTTCGCAGATATATTGTGTTAAAAAAACAAATGCACAACAGTTGTTGATGTACAGATACCGAGAAAGCAATAAAAAACACAAACAAAGACAGAAATGTTTTTTTTTAAGATTTGTCTTTGATCGTTGTATTTTCAACTCAAAGTCTCATATGTACATATCTCTTTTTTATCGTGTCAAATTTTCTAATCTCTGGAAAATCCCACACTTTATTGTACAGAGTGGGTTATTAAATCATTAAACACACGGTACTCGCTTCTTAATTAATTAATTAATTATAGTTAAAAAAAAGTGTCAGAGACTAAAGTTGTACGATTCTTTGAGTAGCATACATTAAATTTATTTTCGACTATACAGGATGGTTTTTTAAATAGAACATATTTTTGTTGGCGTCTTCATAGGCTTTATGACCACAGGTTTTTTTTGAAATTCCGACGAGACCCTGCCACGTTATTTCAATTTTCTAGAATTTTGTAGCAAGGCTAGGGTTCACAAAAAAGTCGCAATATTGTTAGAGATAAACAGAGATACATATTTTTTTGTAGTATCAATGAATTCAAATTTTACTATACCGAGTGTTTACATAAAATTGTAAAACTTTACGATTTTCAAATATCGAACTATTGATAATTGAAAATTGTGACAATAAAAAAAATAAAATAAAAACACTGTATGTTAACACTCAGTTTTAATTATACCACAACAAAGTACAGACCTTTATTTATATGTTCACAAAATATTGTAACACACATTAAAGTAACCCTATTTTGTGAACCTTGCTTGCCTTGCTAAAAAATGTAAGAAAATTGGAATAACGTGGCACCGTCGCATCGGAATTTCTAAAGTAAGCTGTGGTTATCAAGGTCAAGAAAAGGTCAGTCAAAATGTGTAGACATACATATGTATACAGGATATTCCACATGAAGAAACTAATAACTTAAAAACAAAACACTCTGTATACTTGAAAATAATTTGAATATATGATCCTCAAAGGACCGCAGACCGTACAACTTTAGTCTTGGACCTTTTTTTTAATTCAAATAAATAATTAATGTGATATCGAGGAGTTCAAGTTTAGTAACTCGCCATGTGTCATTAGAAGTGGTTGTTAATGGTTCTATTTATTCGAAAAACATATCTACAACTGCAAATTAAAAATGGTGGAACTAAGTATGGTGCTGATACCATAGTGTGTGGCCTTAATTTTTTAGTTGCATTTAAAACTTCTTCCTCGGTTATTTGTACTATATTTAAAGTATTCGAACTATCGGACAACTGATTACAAGTCATTATTTGAAAACTCACATAACATATACATAACATATTTTGCATGACAGCGGCGTTATTGACTCTTATCAAAATGAAACATACACCGTTGATTAGAACTTAGAAAAATTGTGCCACTACTTTAATTCTACGCATACGTACAATAAATTAATTGTTACAATAAAAAACAACCAACCACAAGATTACACTGTTCTCAGGAAGTATTATCAGCAGCGAAAATAATGTCAGGAATTCCTTACTACACAAGAACACATACTCACTCGTCCTGTTCCCAAACCTAAAGTCGGCATCTTCACTCCACCAGGCAGATCCAAAAATCGTTTGGCTGCCATTTTTGTGAATTGTTTATAATTCAGTGAACCATATATTTTTTCAACTTGCAGAATATATTAATGCAGCTATTCGCTATCGGAGCTATTATTATTACAACAAGTTTTTGTTTACCTAATGTGCAATAACTAACCTCGACACAAACTCAGTTTAAACAACACAACATTTCAAGCGAGATTAAAGTTATTATCTATGGATCAAATCAAGTACTCACAGTGAAAGTCGTTTTTTTTTTTTAACTTGGAAATCGCAATAAAGATTTCGATTAGAGAAGCTTTCTAAAAGATAGGTGGTTTGTCAGCGTATAATTTATAAATCATCATCATCACTTTCTTATACGTTATCTATACGTACATATAAATTTACCGGAAATATTGTTGTTGTTGTATTATATCTCTGCTGATAACTAAGGTTTGTACTAAGTTAAAATTCATAGTACAAAAACGTTAGCGATATTTTCTTAATATTTTAATAATATTGCATTCGAATAATTAGGTATGCCAAAAACTTAAATTAGTTATAATAATAATAATAATAATAACTTTATTGATTCCAACAGGTATGACACCCATTTACAGGATCAAATAAACATCAACTAAATAAGTAGTAACAGTACTAAACTAACAAAATATAAATTGTACAACTATTAATAGTACAGAAATAAACATGCTTCATTGCGACATAAATATACATCTGAACAATAAGATAGGCAGATGCAGGAGGAGAAAAAAAGTTATTCTAAGTTTATAACACATGAAACAATATGTCGAAGTGAATCAAGGTTCATATCGCATAAGTGTGAAATTTTATTAAATAAATTGGACATAATTATAATAGGCGATCGCATAGACATATTGGTTCTGCTAAAGTTAGCGTAAAATAACATCTGTTGTCTGGAGTTTACGCGAGGTACTAGTAAGTTGAATTGGCTGAGAAGCTCAGCACAATCGATTTTGTTATGAAAAAGATTATATACAAATCTAACAGCAATTATATTACGACGAGTTTCTAATGATAGTAAATTATAACGCGACAGTAATAGGGATTGCTCACAACCTCTCGGAGGGTAAATACCATCTTCTAAATATACCATAAATTTGAGGAAACGTCTCTGAACCGATTCTAAACTAAGACAGTGTACATCGTAAATAGGATACCAGATTAAGGAAGCATATTCCAATCTCGACCTTACAAGCGAACAAAACAATAATCTGATAGTTTCAACATTGGAAAAGCGACGACAGTTTCTATAGATAAAACCATATATTTTAGAAGCACTGTTAACGGTTGTATTAATGTGGTCAATGAAAGCAAGTTTGCTGTCAAAAACTACACCTAGGTCTTTGACTGTTTGTGAACGCTCCATTAGAATACCATTTACATTGTACGAGTAGGTGATAATGTCTTGTTTTCTTGAGTAAGAGACTACTCTACATTTGGAAATATTGAGTTGGAGACGATTGATGTCGCACCAGCGGGTCACCGAGTTTAAATTTTGTTGGAGAAGAAAACAATCACTGACTGAATTGATGATTGAAAAGAGTTTGAAATCGTCGGCGAACAATGACTTTTTACAAGATACAGATTCAGCAAGATCGTTGATAAACAATAGAAAAAGCAATGGACCCAGATTGGAACCCTGTGGCACGCCCGAAGTGGGTACAAATGCAACAGATGTAAAATTACGATATCTAACTCTGAATTCTCTATCAAATAAATAGGATTGAATCAATTTTAATAGTGGTTCGGAGAAACCGAAACGGCTGAGCTTTTCCAGTAAAACGTAATGATCAATCCTGTCAAAAGCTTTTTGGAAATCAGTGTATATTACATCGACCTGACATTTATCATCCAGGGAATCCGACAAATACTGGGAGAAAACAGCAAGATTCGAGACCGTTGAACGGTTAGCCATAAAGCCATGCTGATATGAAGAGATAAAAGGTTTGACTGAATTGTAGATAGTTTCGTAAATAATTGACTCGAAAGTTTTCGCAAAATTGCACAGCAAAGAGATCGGTCTGTAGTTTGTAACGTCATTGGTTTTGCCTTTTTTAAGTACAGGACATATAAAGGCTTTTTTCCATATATCTGGAAAAGTTGAATACTGCAACATCCGATTGAAAATTTTAGCTAAGGGAGCAGCAAGAACAGAAGCACAATCACGTAGGAGAAAACTGGGAACACCATCAACACCTGTAGTTTGCGAATTTTTGGATCGCTGCAAGTGTTTTCGAACATCATCAACGGAGATCTCATTGACTGAAACGGTATTATTGAAGACGCATTGTTGAAGTGATAGGGAAGCTGGGTCGATGGGAGTAGAATGTATAAAAACACTATGAAAGTAATTGCCAAAGGCGTTAACAATGTCTGCAGGATTTGAGATTTCTTCGTTGTTATAACACATGACTCCTGGGATACGCGTAGAACCTTTTTTGTTTTGGATGTAAGCCCAAAATTTGCTCGGATCATTGATGATTGAATTTTCTATAGATGAAAGGTAGTGATTGTGTGCCTCTTTAATAAGTTTCTTGCATTTTGCACGCTGAGTATTAAATAGGTGATAGGACTGGTCACTTCTGAGTTTTTTATGCTGTTTGTATGTAGACCATTTAAGGCGTAAGTTGCTTATAATTTCGGATGAGAACCAAGGTGGGTAGTACCGGCGATCACGATAAATAGATTTCGGAACAGATAAATCAAAAAGACTGTACAATTTATCATAAAATTTTTTACATGCTAAATTGACATTGTTAATATTTTCCAAAAAGGACCAATCAGCGTTTGTAATTAGTTCATAGAGAAGAGGAAAGTTCGCTTTCTTGAAATTGTAGTTCGAAACACTATTATTCATACGGAAAGAGCTGGGAGGTTTGCTAGACTGGAAATTTAGATTCAGCTCAAGCGCTGGGTGATGGAAATCTTCGTCGACCAACGGACAGATAGCATTTTCGACAGAACATTCAAGATTAGAATATATCAAGTCCAAGAGCCTTCCATATCTATTTACAACAGTATTAAATTGCTGTAGGTTGTTGAAATTCTGAAATATATTCAAAGTAGTACTAAATCCACTATTACTCCTAGTTATGAATTCAGGAACATTGAAATCACCAAGAAAGATAACTTGATTATTGCAACGCGTTATATCATTTAATGAAAACGATACGAAACAATTAGTTTTAAGTCAGTTTCTAATAATACCGTTACGAAAGAAACCCATACACTGCCCCGGTACGACGTCTATGGGTTTTAGTGTGTACGGCGATGATGACTTATCGTCGGTTACGGCAGCCGGGCGGCATTCGCTATAGAAAAAATTATTTAGTACATAATCGCTGTGTAATCAGTCGTGTAAGTTTGAGTTATTGAAAAATGAATTGTAGAGTTTGACCCACGTCGATTTTAAATTACCGAGAATCGTAACAATACATTCCGCTAGAAAATTCTTTTTATTTTAAGTTTTCATGAACACTACATCAAAGTTAGCCAGGTTTTTTGCAAATTAATAAAGTGGTTCTTACGGCGGTTTCTTTCTCACGAAATTGCCATGAACTTTTAAACATGTCTTTAAATATTTTCAATTCTTATCAGCCGCATTAATCGGCCTTTGTAGGCGCTTTCATGAGCAACGCTTAAGTATATAGTGGTGTTACGTGGCATAGTTATTAGAAAATATATTACAATACTAATTTAACGTAAAAAAAAACTACTTTTTTACAATATTCAGATAATCTATTTTTTCTGTTAACTTGTGTAATAATACAGTTGTCATAAAATATGCACATTAAGCCTTCATTGGGAAGTCTGGGTGAGTTACAATACTAAAAACAGAAGAAAAAAAAAATTAATCTGTTATAAGATATACATATAGTAACGATTACTTACCCCTGAAACAGCCTAAAATCGCAAACTCTAGCTTTTTCACCGACGTCTAGACCAGAAAGCTCCTTCATATCACTATCGCTAAGAGCAAAATCAAACACTGCAATATTCTCCTTAACACGTTTCTCGGTTACACTTTTTGGAATGGGTGCAATTCCTCGTTGAATAAGAAATCGTAGTACAATTTGTGCTGGAGTTTTAGAATGATTTTTGGATATTTGAGCAACAACTGGATCGCCTAGAATATCTGGTAACTGTTTTTCCCTGTAAAAATAAACTAGTCAGTAAAACATTTGATGCAAACATTTAGATAATCATACTCTCGCCCTAGTTGTTTCAGAAACTTATTGTAACCAGGTGACGCCAATGGTGAATACGCTACTACTGTTATACCGTTTTTGTGGCAAAAATCAACAAGCTGGCGCTGTTGCAAGTAAACATGAAGCTCCACTTGCAAATTAGCTGGTTTTATTCGGGCACCTTTCAAGACAGTCTCTATTTGAGAAATATTGTAATTTGATAAACCTATTGTCTTTGTGCGGCCAGCATCCACCTGTTGCTCCATTTTCTGCAAGAAAAAATATATGTACACAGTGTATCTAGTAACAGTTTTAAAAATCTGCCTACCTTCCAAATACCCAAATGGTCTGTTTTAGCTTCAGGCATTACATGATTGTTATCGTCCATTTTCGGACGAAGTGTACTTTCGTCACATTTGAAACCAATAGGAAAATGTATTAAATACAAATCCACGTAATCCAGTTGTAAATTTTCTAAAGATTTCTTCATGAAAGTTTCCACTCTGTCAGGATGCACCCCTTGCATCGGTAATTTCGTTGTAATAAATACATCTTCACGTTTCAGTTTTCCGGAAGCAAACCACTGTTTTAATACTTCACCAATGAATTTTTCGTTTTCGTATGCAAAAGCGGTGTCTATATGCCGATAACCAGATTCAAGAGCAGTATTTAATGCGTCTTTAATTTCTTGCTCATTTTTGGCCTGTTAAAAAATAGGATAAGTGACCTCTAGACTATTTAAATAGGAGCAGACAATATTAATGATTTTAGTATTAAAAAAATATATAAACTAGTGCACTTCAGTGACGACAAAAGCAATTTTGTTAGTTCTACTTTTACTTAAAACATGATACAGCACAAACTAATTATAGAGTAGTTTTTTAATTATCTATAATTTTCCTCCATAAAAACCTATCACTCACAAGGATGATAAAAATACGATTTATGATACTTTAGTATCATATAGGCAACATATATAAATAAAAAAAATATTTGTGGATGCTATAACGGCATAAATTTATCAGAACAGACTTAGGACAGACATTTTGATGAACAATACTGAGTAATTCACAATTTATATTAGCTTTGTTCTTGTTATAATGCAATGTCTACTGTTTAATTAAAAAATATTATCTGTATCAGTGGCGGCTCGTGACTGTCTGATGTGGTGAGGCGATGATAGAAGTTTGACAATAATAGTAATATTACTTGGTCTTACTAGTTAGTAATGATAGAAGTCTTGCCTGAATACCGGTCATTCCCGGCTCAGTAGTAGGTCCTAATAATAATAATAATAACACCCATAACACATTGAATCAACAATGTTTTTACAAGTCAAAATTTTGTTGAAAGTAGCACTTTCTTGGAGGGATTCGGGAATAGTTGTTGTGTTCTTTTCTAAACGTTTTAAGCCCATGAAATTTTTAATGTGTACTTTGGAACTTTCATGTAACTTTGCACTTCGGATGAAATTCTTTAAATCGTTATATCCCGAGATGTTATGTAAATATTACGGCAGAGCCATTTAAGTATATGTTTCGTAGGTACCAAGTTGATTTAAAAGACTTGGAGTACTGACGATTCTGTCGCTTATCAATGGCAGTTAAATGAATTAACGATTTTGACTGCTCGATATTTAGCAAAATTTGCCGACGTCCTAGCTCGGTTCTCCGTGAAAACGGCGTTTCAAGAAGCAACATGACGATGTCGTACTCGGGATTCATTTTTCACTCAGCTGTACCTATGAAAGAGACAATAACACAAAACACCAACACGTGGGTTTTTATTCACGTTCATGCTAATTACCCATGCACCCCGCAACCCTTCCGTTCTGTAAAGTAAATGGAAAAATGGTTTAATGAGTACGCCGAAATTGGCCGAGAAGCACCGAAGATATCGCCTCAGTTCCGAGCGAACTCTTGTATATGAGTATAGGAGCTGAGCCATGGAAATCCGTGTCTGTGATTGGGCTTCGCTGGTTCAAGTGAACCGACGTTCTGGCCGCTTCAGTTGAAGAACGAGGGGCATAAATCGTACGGTATTCAACGGAAAATGTTAGCAGGAAGTGTAAAAAATAAAAAATCATGTACAGATTTGTCATTTCAACATATTTTTGTAACTAAAAATGCATTGAAAGCTCTTTTTTAATTATAAATTAAGTCAATCTGTTCGTAAGATATATGCTGTGAGGCGCCGCCTCACTTGCCTCATCTGACGAGCCGCCACTGATCTGTATTATTTTAGAAAAAAGTTGCAGGAGTTGTTGAATTATATTAAAGCAACCATTTCTGTGGGTTAAATTTTTAAATTTTATTTTTTAAGTGATCTGATTCAAATATACTTATTTTTAATTTATTCTAGCTCATATTTTTGACATTTTTTATAACGTCTAACAGTATTCATCTTTACCACAAACATACTAAATTCTTTAATTAAATTACTTGGGTTCTCGTCTGTGGTTTTACATTTGTTTTTATTATAAATAATTCGCCAATCTAAATTAATTAAATAAAACACACACAAACCAATATTAATATTTTGAACATAAAAATTACGAAAAAATATTTTACATCGATGTTACTTACTGTTGTTAAAAAGTGTAATTTCAAGGCAAATAATACAACACTATATAAGCAATTATAGAGAGAAGTTATTTATAAACTTCCACCACAGGAAAAATTATGAGAAATACGATAAATTTTTAGATAACATAAATAGAACACTCATAAATATATGTGGAAAATAACAGATTAAATTTATCATTGCATAACATATAATGCATAATAACTTTTTTCTTTAGCAGAATTTAGACTGTCTAGTCGAAAAATTGCATATTTTATTTTCAAAATACTAAAAGTTTTCTTGTAGAAATTACGCAAAACATTAATTATAACTGAAGCTCCATTGTGTAAAAGCCACAAATTGTGTTACAAACAAAAAATAAATGACCAGTTAAAGTTTTACTAATGTCTAAAACTTACTTGCCAAGTTCCAAACCCAAGAGCCGGCATCTTAAGACCTCCGGGTAAATCTAAGAATACATTGGCCGTCATTTTTTTTATCACTCAATTATTTTCTTAAAAGAAATTTTCAGTAGGAAGCAATGTGAAACACGGCTTGTGTAAAAGTATACTAACATTTATTTATGTTTTCCGCTAGATTTTATATTGTTGGTCGCGCAAACTCAGTAAATTTAAAAAGTATTGCACAAGTTTACAAAAGGAATAATTTTCTACATTTGTAGCCAAGGACTCAAATGATGACTACGCAAAATCGATTTGGTGCAGTGTACATGTAGTTAAGTGAAAAGCAGACAGAAATATTATCTAAAGATATGTTTGTAAGTGTAAATAATGTATTATATCAAGCTTTTGAAGTATTTGATAATAATATACCGATTTCATTATAATCGCAATATACAATTAATTGTAAATATCGTTAAGGAGATAATTAGAACGAGATTTGACTTTTAACTAAATCGAAGTTCTACATATTAAAGAAAAAGATTTATCAAATGAGTTTTATTTAATATATTTTAATTAAACTAGGCAAACGAGGTTGGTCCAACTGAAGTTGGATTTCTGAATCAACCCGGATAAATAAGCGTATAATTATTCAAAATATTGTACAATTAATTCTAATTTTAAATATAAAACTATACCGAAGCTTTACTTTGTTTTATTTCAAGGATTTTTCTCAGGTGCATAAAGATTATTTGCTTTTATCTTTAACTACAAATAGCTAACCAAGTAAAAGTTTTACATTGTTATTAAACTGTACGTTTTTAAAACGTTTATACAAAAAATAAATTGTCTAATCAGTTGTCAGTACTAATGATTTTGACGTGAAATCAACCACTGTTTCGTAAAAATGTATTATTAGATATATTATAAACCTTTGATTCGTCCTTTTTTTGTACAAAAATGTCAACATACATTGTCCTGAGACCTTCTAACTCATTCCGATAAAGCAGTGTGTGATTATTGATTAACGATACCTATATTTAAAGGTTGTTTGATAGAAACAGAGCTATATAATTACATAAGCAGAACCATTAGTACAATCAACAAGATTTTTTTAAATGATTTTACCAAAAACGAAATTGCCATGAACTTTATAAGTAAGCGTTAGCGCTTTTATCAGCAATTTCTATTTTTGACGAGATTTTACCGCGCTTCAAAGGTGTTTCTCTTAGGAAGCATTTGAAAAAAAAACGTGAATATTATTCAGATATATTTTATTTTCTGTTGACTGGTGTAAGACATTGTCATCCACATTAAAAATAGATATGTATTACGTATTCATTGGAAAGTCTGGATGAGTTTCAGTACTAAAAACAAAGTAATTAAAAATTAGATAAACAATACACAATGAGAATTACTCTTTTATAATCCTAAAATCGCCAACACTAGCTTTTTCACCGGCTTCTAGAGCAGAAAGCTCCTTCACATCGCTACTGTCAAGAGCAAAATCAAATACTGCAATATTCTCTTTAATGCATTTTTCGGTTACACTTTTTAGAATCCCTTGTTGTATCAGAAATCGTAGTACAACTTGTGCTGAAGTTTTAGAATGTTTCTTAGACTAAACAACAACTAAATCACCTAAAATATCTGGTAGTTGTTCAATTAGAATGAATGAAGGCGACAATGAAACACCGGGCTTGACACAAAGTACACACGCATTTCACCAATAAGATTGGCAGCATCCAAAAACGCATATCACTGTACCTCATCGTTACACTCCTGTCAATAATTTATGTATGCTTTGATTCCTTGCTCATTTTTAATATGTTAAAGAAAACAATTAGAATAATACGGCTTGGCAGTAAATACAAGGTCGGTTCGTGAAAACTTTTAAATGAATGAAAACAACAATACAAAGCAGGATTGACACAAAGTAGACACACATTTCACCAACAAGATTAGAAGCATCCAGAAACTTCTATCTGCTTCTATATATTTGACCTCGTCACTATACTACTGTCAATAACTTGTGTATATTTAAAAAAAAAACAGTATTTTAATAGTCTCATTCCTATCACTTACCACAATAATATCTGCAGAACACGTTTATACGAATGTGCAAAGATAAGTTACAACGAACAATTAAGACACAGTCGCAACAAAAGGTTTTATATTTGTTTTTTCTGTTACCAATTTACCAGTCTTACTAAACTATCTCCCTTTAATAAATTAAACAGAAACAAATTATTATCATTATCATTAATCAGTCATGAAAAAAATGATTTTGTCAATTTTACTTTTGGTAAAAAATTAAATTTTATAGCAGATGACACAACAATAATATTATTATCTATAATCTTCCAACATACACGATGATAATAAATATGATAAATTATTAGATAACATAAACAAATACACTCCAGAATATACGTGTGGATTATAACAGACTGAATTTACCAGACAGACTTATGACTGGTGAAACCTACTGCAAAACATGATATAGTGGTCACGAAATTTTGAGGAAAATTTTACGGTCTAAGCAAAAAAAAAACATTTTTTGTTTACAACATTCTGGTATATATATTTTTTTCTGTTGATTTGTATAATATAATACAATTGTCATAAAATATGCACACTAACCCTTCATTGGAAAGTCTGGATGAGTTTCAAGACTAAAAACAGAAGAAAATCATTATTATTCAGGTAAACAATAGTAATAATTATTTACCTTTCAAGCAGCTTAAAATTGCAAACTCTAGCTTTTTCACCGACGTCTAAACCAAGAAGCTCCTTAATATCACTGTCGCTAAGAGCAAAATCAAACACTGCAATATTCTCCTTAACACGTTTCTCGGTTACACTTTTTGGAATGGGTGCAATTCCTCGTTGAATAAGAAATCGTAGTACAATTTGTGCTGGAGTTTTGGAATGTTTCTTAGATATTTTAGCAACAACTGCATCGCCTAAAATGTCTGGTAGTTGTCTCTCCCTGCAAAAATTAAACTGGTCTGTAAAACACTTGATTCAATTATTTAAGTAATCATACTCTCGTCCTAGTTGCTTCAGAAACTTATTGTAACCAGGTGACGCCAATGGTGAATACGCTACTACAGTTATACCGTTTTTGTGGCAAAAATCAACAAGCTGGCGCTGTTGCAAGTAAACATGAAGCTCCACTTGTAAATTAGCCGGTTTTATTCTGGCACCTTTCAATACGGTTTCTATTTGAGAAATATTGTAATTTGATAAACCTATTGTCTTTGTGCGGCCAGCATCCACCTGTTCTTCCATTGTCTGTAAGAAAAAATACATGCACAGAGTGTATTTAGTAACAGTTTTAAAAATGTGCGTACCTTCCAAATACCCAAATGGTCGGTTTTAGATTCAGGAATCATCTGGTTTTTATCGTCCAGTTTCGGACGTAGTGTACTTTCGTCACATTTGAAACCAACAGGAAAATGTACTAAATATAAATCCACGTAATCCAGTTGTAAATTTTCGAGAGATTTCTTCATGAAAGTCTCCACTCTGTCAGGATGCACACCTTGCATTGGTAATTTCGTTGTAATAAATACATCTTCACGTTTTAGTTTTCCGGAAGCAAACCACTGATTTAATACTTCACCAATGAATTTTTCGTTTTCGTATACAAAGGCGGTGTCTATATGCCGATAACCAGATTCAAGAGCAGTATTTAATGCGTCTTTAATTTCTTGCTCGTTTTTGGCCTGTTAAAGGATAGGATAAGTGACCTGTATGCATATACATATTTACTGATTAAATAGAAATAGACACTATTAATACTTTTACCTTTAAAAAAAATATGTAAGCTTGTGCACTATTATAAGCTAGTTTGTTAGTTCTACATTTACTTAAAAAATGACACAGCACAAACTAATTGTGGAATATTTTTTTAATTATCTATAATTTTCCTCCATGAAAACCTATCACTCACAAGGATGATAAAAAACACGATAAGTATATTATGCAGGTAACATATATAAATAAAAAATTATTCATGGATACTAACAACATAAATTTATCAAAACAAATTTAAGGCAGACAATGCATTTTGATGAACAATACTGGGTAACAAACAATTTATATTAACTTTTTTCTTGTTAAAGTGCAATCTCTACTGTTTAATTAAAAAAGTAATATATATTATATTAGATAAAAGTTTGCTTGCAGACACAAGGCAAAATGTTAATCGAGTGACGCTTGTATTGTGTAAAAGCAACAATTTCTGTAGGTCAAATACTTAAATTTTATTTTTTAGGTGATCTGATTCAAACATATTTTTAACTTTTTCTACCTCATATTTTTGACATTTTTTATAACTTGTAATAATATTCATTTGTAGAGAAACATACTAAATCGTTTAATTAAATTACTTAAGTTCTCATCTGCGATGTTTCATTTGTTTTTATTTTAAATAAAAATTAATAAAACAAAACAGAAACAAACCAATATTAATATTTGAACATAAAAGTTATGAAAAAATATTTTATGGCAATGTTACTTTTCCTAAAAAATTAAATTTCAATTTCAAAATAATATAATACTATAAGCAATCATAGAGAAATGCTTAAGTTATCTTCCACCACAGGAAAAATTGTGATAAATACGATATATTTTTAGATAACATAAATAAAACACTCCCAAAATATATGTGGAACATAACAGATTAAATTTATCATTGCATAACATAATAGCTTTTTACTTTCGCAGAATTTCTACGATCTAGCAGAAAAAATTGCATGTTTTATCTTCAAGATAAAAGTTTTCTTGCAGAAATTACGCAAAACATTCATTATTAACTGAAAATTAATTGGGTAAAAGCTACAAATTATGTTAGAAACAATAACTAAATGACAAACGAAAACTACAGCTACAAATGTGCTAAACTTACTTGCCAAGTTCCAAACCCAAGAGCCGGCATCTTAAGACCTCCGGGTAAATCTAAGAATATATTGGCCGCCATTTTTTTAATCACTCTATTATGTTTATACAAATTTTTTTCACACGTAATGTGAAACAACGCTTGTATAAAAGTATACTAATATTATATTTATGTTTTTCGCTAGTTTTTATATACTTATTTTTGGTCGCGCAAACTCAGTAAACTTAAAAAGTATTGCACAAGTTTACAAAAGTAATAATAATAATCTTCTACATCTTCAAGGATTGAGAATGATGACTACGCAAAATCGATCATGTTGCAGCGTACATGTAGTTAAAGTGAATAGCAAAAATATTATCTAAAATATCTTTGTAATAATTGGAAATAATGTATTACATCAAGCTTTTAAGTTTTGGATAATAATAATAATATACCGATTGCATTATAATCTGAATATACAATGAATTTGAAATATAGTTTAGTAAATAATAATAATAATTAGAACGAGATTTAACTGCTACCCAGATCAAGGTTCTAGATGAGTCATTCTACCGAAACAGGAATTATTTTATAGTAAATATGGACATACCCGTGATCTAAATATTTCTAGATGATGAGTACTTTATAAATTGATCGAGATTATATCAAGACTGAAGCTAAAAGGATCAGTCAAAATATCAAATATTTATGATTTTATAAGCAATTTTCGAAAAGGCGTCACCAGGGAACAGAGATTTTAATAGAAAACATGCAGTGTCATGTTTACTGTGGTGTTATTTTTTTGTAGATAAATTAATGTAGTAATGTAGTGTAACAATAACTAACAGAATAAGAACGATTTATTATCAACTTAATTTTTGTACTTCAGACAACCTAATTTAAAATTAATGCACATATTGCCCAATTTATAAAAACAACTTAATAACTGCATTAACAATATTCCCGGTACAAAAAAATTATCCCATACTTGATGGGCCTCCAAAGTTCCAGTAAACTGTTTAATACTCGGGTTTTTGCACAGAAAAGTATGTCGTTCATTTGTTTTATGTCCAAATCAGTTAAGGCTTCTCTCTTACATAACAGCACCGAGTTACAGTGAAAAATACACCCACATGTTTCACGGTCTGTAATTTTTGGCACAACAATCCAAAATGAGTGCAACTTAGAACACAACGAATAACAAATTTTAATATTACTGGATTTTAAAAATTCTTTCTATAAATTGACTAAGTAAGTGTTCAACAAATAGCGCTTTTGTTTTTTAATTTTGTTTTTAGTAATTAATTCGTTTTTTCCTGCACTGTGCTTATCGTCTTCCAGGAATCTTTCCACCATTTGTTTAACCGTCTTTGCAGATTTCTTGCTGCTTTTCTTTATTTTTTGGAATACCACATCTTTTTGTAAGTAATTGTACTTTTTTTTTCGCCAAAGTTTATTTTTTTTAAGTACGTCACCCAAAAGCAATTTTTTTGCCGTTTTCTGCTCTTGTCAAGTTTTTAGTGTAGGATTTTTTTGTGTTAATTTGTTCTTCTAGTACGTCCCCAAATAGAGCTTTTTTAAGTAAGCTTCAATTCGTGTCTTCTGATTTTCAATTAAATGCATCACTTAATATAGCCGAACGAGGTTGGTCTAGTTATTGGAGTTAGAAACATGACTATACTTACATTTCTGAATCAACCCAAATTAAAAAGCGGATATTCAAAATATTGTACAATTCGTTTTAATTTTAAAGATAAAACTCCACCGAGGCTTTACTTTGTTTTATTTCAAGGGCTTTTCTCAGGTGCATAAAGATTATTTGCTTTTATCTTTAACTACAGATAGCTAAGCAAGTTAAAGTTATACATTGTTATTAAACTGTACGTTTTTAAAACGTTTATACAAACTGATAAACTGCTATGAATTTTATAGGAAACTGTGTGCGCTCTTATCAGCAATGCCAATTTTTGACCAAATTTTGCGACGCTTCAAAGGGTGTTTCTCTTAGGAAGCATTTGAAAAAAAATGTCGAAAGTATTCAAATATATTTTATTTTCTGTTGACTGGTGTAAGACATGGACATACATAAATATGTATTATGCCTTCATTGGAAAGTCTGGATGGGTTTCAATACTAAAAACAAAATAATTAAAAGTTAGATTAATAATACACAAAAAAAATTACTCTTTCATAATCCTAAAATCGCTAACTCTAGCTTTTTCACCGGCGTCTAAAGCAGAAAGCTCCTTCATATCGCTACTGTCAAGAGCAAAATCAAATACTGCAATATTCTCTTTAATGCGTTTTTCGGTTACACTTTTTGGAATGGGTGCAATTCCTTGTTGTATAAGAAATCGTAGTACAATTTGTGCTGGAGTTTTAGAATGTTTCTTAGATATTTTAGCAACAACTGGATCGCCTAAAATGTCTGGTAGTTGTTTCTCCCTATTAAAATTAAAGCAATCAGTAAAACATTGAATGTAAATATTTATGTAATTAATATCATACGGTCGTCCTATTAGTTTCAGCAACTTATTGTAACCAGGTGACGCCAGTGGTGAATACGCTACTACTGTTATACCGTTTTTGTGACAAAAATCAACAAGCTGACGCTGTTGCAAGTGAAGATGAAGCTCCACTTGCAAATTGGCTGGTTTTATTCGGGCACCTTTCAAGACAGTCTCTACCTGAGAAATATTGTAATTTGATAAACCTATTGTCTTTGTGCGGCCGGCATCCACCTGTTCCTCCATTTTCTACAAGAAAAAATAATGCACATGGTGGACTAAACATTTTAAAAATTTACATACCTTCCAAATACCCAAATGGTCCGTTTTAGGTTCTGGGATCATCTGACGTTTATCGTCGAGTTTCATACCACCTGTACTTTCGTCACATTTAAAACCAATAGGAAAGTGTATTAAATATAAATCCACGTAATCTAATTGTAAATTTTCCAAAGACTTCTTCATGAAAAACTCCACTCTGTCCGGATGCACACCTTGCATTGGTAATTTTGTTGTAATAAATACATCTTCCCGTTTCAGTTTTCCGGAAGTAAACCACTCTTTTAATACATCACCAATAAATTTTTCGTTATGGTATATATAAGCGGTATCTATATGGTGATAACCAGATTCAAGAGCTGTATTTAAAGCGGCTTTAATTTCTTGCTCATTTTTAATCTGTTAAGAAAATATCAATTAGAATCAATGAAAGTAACAGTGAAACACCAATTCTAGTTTAGTCTCTAAATTGACAAAACATATATATAAACATGCAGAGATAAAGTTACAACGAATAATCAAGACACAATCTCAATAAACGTTTTTATTTTTGTCTTTGAACAATCTTACTTTTTGTAAAAAATTAAATTTTATAGCAGATGATATAGCATACAACAATAACAATAATATTATCTATAATCTTCCACCATATACACAAAACTTATCACCCACGATCACGATAAATTATTAGATAACATAAACAAATACACTCCAAAGTATCTCTGGATTATAACAGATTGAATTTATCAGACAGGCTTATGGCAATACCTATATTCTAATGGAAAAAAAAATATTTAACATTAACTAAATGAAACTGCATTGTGTAAAAGCTACAAATTTTATTAAAAACGATACATAAATAACAAAACAGGTAACAGCTAAAAGTCTACTAATTTCTGAAACTCACTTGCCAAGTTCCATATCCTAGAGCTGGCATTTTGGGGCCTCCTGGTAAATCTAAGAATATATTAGCTGCCATTTTTTTTAATTACTCAGTGATTTGTTTTCAGATAAGAACTTCAGACAGCAGAGTACAACATAAGATTACGCTACTAACTAAAAGTACACTATCATGCAGGTATGTTTTCCTTAGTTTTTATATTACTATTTGCGCAAACTCAGTGAATTTCAAAAGTATTGCACAAGTGTACAAAAATGATACCTACTCTTTTATGTTTTTAGTCAACCACTTGATGACCATGCAAAATTCATATTGTTGCTATACTTAGTTAAAGTTAGCAACAGACATCTTATCTATCAAGATTTACGTATTAGGTATTATAGGCATCTCTGATATGCCTTTTACTGGCATAAGCTAACTTCGAAATCTGTCTTTATTATAGTCTGAAAATATTTGAATAAGTGAAAGTACAACTTACAAAATTAACATTATTTAAACAAACTATTTACTCAGAAAGCACCGAATACTTAGCAGTTTTCTGTGGAAATGATATTATATTTGTATCAAGTCGAGCAACACTTGTCCACGTGATTTTAATAACATGATAGATAACTTACAAAAGATATCTGATAGTGATCTGGCGCAGACTTTACCAGAACCATCAAATTTGTTACCACAAAAAGGCAAACGCAGATACAAAAGGTAATTTCAAAAGCTTGATTCTTTTTTCTTTACGAAGTAATGCAACAGTGATCTCTTTATGATTATCACTTTGTATATTGTCTAAAACCAAACTCTAGGTAAGAATTAAGAAAGTTCCCAACTCGTTGGGAAGCCACTTCCAGAAAAGTTGGAAAATTTAAGTTAATAATAAACTTATCTCTCAACCTATTACAAGTTAAAATTAGTTGCAGACTATAGTGAAATCGATACATTATCTAATACTTAAAAGCTTAATATGAATCATATAAGTACCTACCTATTTAAACTTACATGTAGATTTTTAGATAAATTTATGCTACTCATTTTGACTACATGTAGATAGATTGCACCAATATGAATTTGACGTAGTTAATGATTGATGTAAAGATTATTATTATTTTTAGAAACTTGTGCAATACATTTGAAATTCACTGAGTTTGCGTGAAGAATAATATAAAAACTATGGGAAAACATAAAAAATGTTAGTGTACTTTTAAAAGAGTTGTTCGATATCGCACTCTTATCAAAAGTGTTTAATAACAATTAAGTAATTTTAAAAAAATGTCGGCTAAAATATTCTTAGATTTGCCTGGAAGTGTCAAGATGCCTGTTCTTGGGTTTGGAACTTGGCAAGTAAGTTTTAGACATTAGTAGACTTTTAGTTGTTATATAATGTGATCTACCTATGATTTCGAACAAAAAATGTTCCTAATTTCTGCAAGCTAAGTTTTATGTCAAATATCATATATCGGTATCGGTACTATATAACTTACACTATGTACTTATTTTTTGAAATAAACCGTAGAAATTCCACTTTATAACAAGAAAAAAATGAATATATGATAGGTATATGTTATGTAATATTTTTTATCACAATGCATTGTTTTAAGATTCTTTGATAAGCTTATTATTTATTATCCACTTATATTTTGGTGTATTTTTACAGTTTTTTGTATAGTGGAAAATTATAGATAATAATTAAACAAGCTTTTTTTATATTTAGCACTAAAAAATTGTCCGCGAAAGTAAAAAGAAATTGCATTTTTCAGATGACACCAACTTTGTTGGTGAAATGCGTCTGTATTTTAGTTACTTGTAAGTGTCTCATTTTTTCGTTATTGCTTTACAAAGTTTTCGAGTTTTCACGCACCGATTTATGACAATAAACTTACCCTTGCAAAATGCGCACCCTAACGGAGTGGAATTTTTTATGAAGAAACCTTTAAAAAATTTACGACTGGACTAGTGGACGATTTTTATATAAAATCCAGTTTATCTATTTTACTTTTAATACTACCATTTTTTTATTATTTCGAATCATATAACATACCGCCGGTTTTTCAGTCTGGAGACGAAAAGGAATCTAAAGCTGTATTAAACGCAGCCCTCGAGGCGGGTTATCGCCACATCGACACAGCTTACGCTTACAATAATGAAAAATTTATTGGGGATGTATTGAAAGAATGGTTCGCTTCCGGAAAACTCAAACGAGAGGATGTGTTCATCACAACAAAACTACCCATGTACGGTGTGCATCCCGACAGAGTGGAATTTTTTATGAAGAAATCTTTGCAGAATTTGCAGCTCGATTACGTAGATTTGTACTTAGTACACTTTCCTGTTGGAGTTAAATACGACGAAAGTACAGGTCGACCAGCGTTAAATGAAAAAAACCGTTGGATTGCGGAGGGTAAAACAGATCATGAGGGTATTTGGAAGGTAACTTTGCCTACTTGAGGGTTGGCGTGTGCAATGACAATATATTTTTTTAGAAAATGGAAGAACAGGTAAAAGCTGGCCGAACTAAGACAATTGGTTTATCAAATTATAACATTTCTCAAATTGAAACAGTTCTTAAACATGCAACGATAAAACCAGCGAATTTGCAAGTCGAACTTCATGTTTATTTGCAGCAGCGGCAGCTGGTTGACTTTTGTCACAAAAATGGTATAACTGTGGTAGCGTTTTCGCCACTTGGTTCACCTGGCTACAACAAATTTCTGAAACAAATGGGACGAAAGTAAGACCTAAATTTGTTAAGTCATTTTAATACCTAATTATTTACATTTTATAAACAGTGAGAAACAATTGCCAGATATTCTAGGAGATCCCGTTGTAGCTAAAATTTCTAAAAAATATTTGAAAACTCCTGCACAAATTGTACTAAGGTTTCTTATTCAACAAGGAATTTCGTGTATTCCAAAAACTATAAGTGAAAAACGCCTTAAAGAAAATATTGCAGTATTCGACTTTGCATTAGATGATGGTGACATAAAGGAGCTCCTTAATTTGGACATTGGAGAGGAAGCTAGAGTTCGCGATTTTAGCATTTTTGAAGGGTAAGTATATTGTTAATTAATTTTTATTTTACTTATTACCTATTTGTTTTAGTCTTGATGAACATCCAGATTTTCCCTTGAAGACTTAGATGCCATATTATGTGTTAGTTGTGTTCTGTTTATGTTATGTTGGTACCTACATTAATTTATAACACAAAAATATACCAATTTAAAATTTACAAAGCGATTTTAATATTTTTCAACCAAATATTTTAGGGTTGACACACGGGAAGTTTGTTATAATTGCCACTAGGGTCAGCCATACCCTAAGCAGCCCTCTGTTACAAGATTCGACTTCATTGCCAGTAGGTACAACATCTTAAAAAACGCCAATTAGTTATATTTTACTTATATCCATTTTTAAGCTGCTGAAGATTTAAAATTGCAGTAGTAGTTACAACAGTTGTCCCAAATTCCTATAAAAACACGTTTCAAATAAAGATATATTTATTTAAACATAAATAAAATAAAATGTGACGTGTAATACCACAGCCGTCAATTAAAGGCAGTGTATAAAGCAGCTGATTACTTAGGTAAAATACATTTTGTACTAATATTAGCTTATCTTAAACATAAGTCTATGTACAATAAGTGCACTAGACGCACTGTGTACATAGTGAAGGAAACTGTTAACATTGTTTTGTTTCTTTTTAATTAAAATTAAATATTATCCTCAAGAAAAAGACAAGCAAACATGTAAGCTTGAGCATGCAAAATGTTTGCAAAGAAGAAATTAAATAAGTATTATTAGTGTCACATTTGATATAATCTAAATAAATTAAATAAGTGTCATGAACAGTCATCATCATATTGACTGAAGTCAATTTCAATAATTTTTCTGTTATTAACAAATTGTCTGAAAATAAAATCTATAGCATCTTGATATACATAACAACAAATTTATACCTGTAACTAACTCCGCCCTGCTTTAAGACTTCTCTGGCATCATCACTGTTTACATTATCCTGATAATAAATTAGTTCTTCTATACCAGAACTGACTATAACCTCGGCACACTTTACACATGGAAAACTAGTGCAATACATAACAGTCCCTTCTTGAATTTTACGTAGTGCTTTATATTCAGCATGATTAACTGTAACAAAATTAGTTTAATAAGACTAAAATTAAGAAGTATTGAAAACTTACTGTAAGACTCGCCATTTGATTCTTCTTTAGATGCACTACTACTCTCCATACTTACAATTATTTGACGACGATTTAATATAATTGCTGCATCAGTGATGTCAGTGTTTTCAGATCTTCTTATCTCCAGAAATGTTACTGCCATAAAATATTCGTCCCATGCTAAGTAGTCACTGCGTTTTTCGCCTTTATCGCTGTAACACTAATATTTTAATTTACGGAATAGGGGTTTTATACGCAAATACATCTACTACGATATTTACTCCATTACTTACTTTGTACATGAAGTTGTATCTACATTATTTTCCGAATTTTTTAAATAATCCTCAATGTTTGAATTCATTGGTACTTAATGTCAGCATTAATAAAATTAAAGAATTTACCAATGTAACAGTCACTATAATAAAATCACATAAATAAAATAAATTTAAGCAAATTGGTTATAAACATAACCTACATCTGTCAACCAACGTTTGGTAACTTCAATGTTGCCAATGATGACTATCTACAAAACAAAATCCCTACTTTAAAAATAAAATTTAAAATAATATTAAACAATTTCACATTTCCCATTCCCGTGAACATTTCAAAAAGAAAATTTTTAGTCTGAGAAGAATCGTCGGACTTATTTCTCCTCGCCACTAGATAAATAATACACTATTTACAACCCTCGAAAAATAGAGTAGTTGGCGTTGACTGTAATTGGCAATAGTGCCGCTTTTGAATTTTGATGCTAACGTTGTGTTCAAACCCTAACGGCATTTTTTAAATATATTCCAAACTTGTTTGATCAACAAACATTACAATAATATGCCGCCCAGTGAGTTGTTAAGATCAAACCAGTTGCACAGCATCAATAAACCCAGTGGTCAAACATGCAGAAGACGTCTGCAAAATAATTTTGACGAATGCGACAGAGCGGAAGCGAAAACCGCAGATAGGAGTGTTTTATCTGTGTTATCATTTAATGATAACACGCGAAGGGCACTACGCAATGGAGCAGAAAGACTAACCAAAACTTTGAATGCAGTTCGAACCACAATTGGAACAATCACACAAGTAAGGAGTTGAAGTCTATTAAAGATAAATTTTCTAAGATAATTGAATTTTAGAAGTTCCGGGTTTCCACAAGACGTAGGCAGATATTGGAAGAAGGTCCAATGACGCCAAACTGCGCCACACCACATACTTTTTCAAAGCAGATGCTGGGACGAACTCCAACCAAGTTGTATAGCCCTTTTGGTATAGATACACCAATCAGTAGGAACACACATGGAAAAGAAAATCAACCATAAGATGGTATTTTAATAACTTAATAAGTATGGTGTTTTAGAATTATGCATGTTTCGAAATAATTGAGTATTAGAAGTCAGTGAGACTGATTCAGGTTTTTTTTGTAAGATACATTACAGTTTAAGTAATGTAGAGTTTTAAGTATTTATTTACTTTAAAACAATTTTTAATAAACATTATTTTAGTACTATTTGTTTAAATTAATTAATTTGAATGAAATGCCACTCAGAATGATAAAAATATATTTATTGCTCAAAGTGTACATAAAATCACTAGGATATAACAAGGCAACTCTAATAAATATATAAATAATTTCAACTAAAATTAAGAACAAGTCAGAACAATATAACAAAATTCATTTATTTACACTTTGTAAGTTTTGAGCTTTAAAATTGTTTTGCGATTTTCTTGCTTTAATTCTGTTTTGAAGAGTATTTAGCAACCCTGCTAAAACATCATGATTGGGTAGCTTCTTGGCAAAAAGGAGTCTCTTAACTGAATCATCATAAGTAAGCAGTGCCACCATATTTTGTAAAAGAAACCCTTGACAGTATTCTAATAACTGAACGGCATTATATACTTTAGCGTGTATGTACATAGAGACAACATTATCCAGTGCTAACATTGCAGCACAACGACTTTCACAATATCTGAGTAGACCATCCAGCTGGAAAAAATTGGCAGCTGCCATTAACTCCAGAATATCATCTTGTGCTGGCTCTAACGCTTGGCAGCCACCTTGGTAGAGAAATTGCATTACAATCTAAAAAAATATTAATTGCATTAACTGTTGTATATGATTTTAAAACTTACCTGGAATATATCGTATCTGATATCATTGATTTGAACAGTAGGTAAACCCCCTTCACAAAGCTTTGAACTTAACATGGATCTCAGTCTTGAACTTGCAGTTACTAAAACTATTTTATGCGCGTAAAATAAGCGTCCTTCTACCCTAAACGTAACATCGCTTAACTCTGGATTATTTACATATTTTGGGTCAATTCGTGAACTGGATGTGGCTGAAGGAACACAATTTTTTATTGGTTTGATAGGTTCCCAGCCAAAACATGTGGAAAATATATCAGCTAGTAGTAACGTGGTACCTTCCTTCTACAATTACGATTCGTAGCGGCATTTCCTGTTTAGAGTAGTACATACCTTGCTATATCTAAAAATATTGAACAGTAGCGGTAAACATTCTTGCACAAACTGTGAACTGTAGTCATCAGGACACACTTGTAAAAAATCTTGGAGAAGCTGATCGATTACACAGTCCAGTCGAGCTTCATGAGCGGCTCCAAGAGAGTGCATCCAACAGTGTAAAGTCCAAGGGACACCCAACGTTCGTATTTCCACTGTTATGTCCAAGTGATTATTTTCTGCACTGTGGTACATAGCTTCTTGTAACGACTTCACTTGTGATTTGGTAAAGTGGGGCGTAGTGTTAGACGAAGACGAGCAGTTTGGTGCTGCACCTAGAACGAAAACCAAAAAACAGTGTTTTCCTTCCAAAAAAGAACATAGAAATGTTTACCTTCTGCAAGTATTTCTTCTAATGAGAGTACCTCTTTGCTGACTGGTATCAAAGGTTGTGCTAACAATTTCTGCAAAACGACTCTTTGACCATGTGCTGCTGCTACAGATATTGCACTATAACATCCTCTCTGAGCCGATGCTGAGTAACAGAGAGAATCTTTCATTTGCGTTGAGAAGAATGGGTGAGCACCGTGAGCTAGCAGCAACGAAACTACTTCTGAATTGCCGTTACCACAAGCAACCTAAAATTTGAAGGTATGTAGCGGAATATTTTATAAATGCGGATTAAGGTTTTTGTTAGAATAATGTTAAAAGATCTTTAACAAAAAAGCTATTAAGTATGCTACATTATTGTTGGTCCGTGTGGTCCCTACATTCTCACTCTTTTTAAAAGAAAAGATCAGTAAAATACAAACGCAATAGATAGCTCTCAATTTTGTAGCCATTCCAAAATATATATAGTTTTTAACCCGTGCTCACTGAAGTGGGCGTCTCTTTTGTTTATACAGTACACTGACTTATTACAACTAATGTCATCAGCTCATACTTTCCATTGAACCCTACTTTATTTGTCAAGCTTCGATCCGGAACGGTAATTACTTTTGTATCGAACTTTTTCCAGCCTATAAACTGAAACTTAATAATCATATTTCTTCGTCAAAAAGGTTGATTCACTTTTAATGATTCTGGGCTTTTTGTGTACCTTTCTTTTTACAGGAAAAGTGAAAAGTTAATTGACAAAAAAATTGGTACTTGCCGTCTTACATTAAGAACGGTGAAGAGTGAATTAATGTCTGTTATAATTACGTGAAATCCTAACCCATTATTATTTCTAATTACAGGCACATCAAAAAACAGTAATCTTCCATTGTTCTGTTCTCATATGAGAATTTGATGCTATTAAACTGATAGCTATGTAGAAAATGGCAAAAGCGTGCACGTACCTTAAACTCATTCATAGCCTGGAAGAATATTGAAAGAAGCAAACATTTTTAGTGAAAAAATCTGTCATGGTGTTAGCAAAATTACCCGTTAAAGTGAAATATATTATTTGATACATCAATGCACTCTTCGATGATTTATTGTCTTCGGCCAGTTAGAATAAACCTAGTTCCCACAAATTACCTATTTATCAAAATTTGATCGCAGATGTATTTAATGTACTGCGTACCGATCAAGTGCAAGATTCTACCGTGCAAAAATACGTTAGGTACCTAACAATTGTTACTTACAAAATATAAATTTCTCTTAGTCAGCTGATCTCTTACAATTCTTCTTTATTGTCATGTTCAACTGAGGTATGGCTAAATTTTTTTGTCATTTCTTAGTTCATAGAATATTAAAAAGTAGGTTTCCCATCTCCGTCGGTCTATCGTCTCTTGGCGATTTTCTTAGACAGATAAGCTTCAAAACTAGTAGACGGATCGTGAAATTTTTGATATATTTTAAGAATGTCAGGTAGATGAAAAAATGGAAACCAGAATGTTCTGATCATTTCCACAAAAAAATTGTTGGCATCGTCTCAAAATTTTACAAACTACATCTTACTTAAAATAATTATTGTTGAAATCAAAATCTTACAATTTAACTTAAAAATTACGAAAAAAATTCATAACGTCAGTTTAATAATTTTGTTAAATAAATCGTGTTTTAAAATTTGTAGTGTGACATGTTCGTTTATTTGTGGTTTAATATTGTATCCATATATTTTTAAATATTTAGTTTAGACAGGATGCCCCAAAAAATATAGTGAATGAAGCAATATATTTTACTTTATAACGAAGCAAATTTTGGCGGGCTGGAACTCACAATAAGGGTACCGGGGGCGGGAGTTAATCCATGACAGCCGCACCAATGTGACACCGGAAACCGGCATTGAGTCTCCGACCATCGAGAAAACGGGAGTTCTTTTTTGCAAAAAAAGTGCCGACCCCAGAGTTCAGAGTCGTTAGCTTTTTTAGCTATTTAGACATGCCTTAGCTAAACTTAAATTGTTTCCTAATATTTAGCTATTCATTACTAATCTTTGAAAAGCTCTGGCTTTTTCGTACCTACTTTTCTTGACTAAATCATAAATTTAAATTGTGAAATGTCAAGGGGATGGATAGTTCTTCCTAGATTATTATTTAAATTAAATAGATTCACATTTGGAATCCTGGCAGTATTCAAGATTTAAATTTTAAAGACTGAGCCGCTTTGGAAATGATCAGCGAAATAAATGTCGTGGATCGAATGGGCAAATGGGATTTTATTCTGATTTTGTGTTATGTTTTATGTCTTCTATGACTCCAATTTTGGAACATTGATTCTCGGACATACTCCTCAAAGCGACGTACGTACCGAATCATATTTTGTGTTTCTGATCATATTTAACATATGTTTTATGTATTTATGTGTTGGCGAATTCAATTCACGATGTACTCGCCAGCGGACACAGCATGTACGTGGCGTTTGTGGGGACATTGCATCAGAACAGATTCCGCCATTTCAAAACACAACGCATGGTCCAATCTTGTTGATAATCACAGTTCATGGCCACTTTTTTACATTTTCGCGGAGTTTTCAAATTTTGTTAACATGTCAAATTTTTGGCGGAATGTTTGGGTTATTACAGTCTTTTAAGCAAAAGAAGAAACTGGGATTAAAATTAATATTTACAGTAATTTATAATATGTTCTTACTTTGCAGAGTTTAGTGTTTATTTTGTTATATTTGTATACATTTTTAATAATTAAAGTTGCGCGAAAAGTCACAGGTTTTCTTTACCGTTTATCTTAAATAAATAGCTATTTTAGCTACTTTTGACATTCACAACTGCTCTGAACTCTGCGACCCGTAAGCTCTGCACGTTACCGTTCGCCGCCCCTTGGTGATAAGAAGCGATAAACAACGCCAGGAGTGCTACCGCGCCCAGGCGACCCCCTTTCGGCGTGCCGTCCGCACCCCGTTTCAACTTAGTCGCCTCCCCAAGATCCGAAGCAGCCCCGTCCACCGAGCAGCAGCCGTCAGGGAGGTCAAACGACGCCATTGACCGGATTCTATTTCTTTTTCTTTGGCCGTTATAGCCTGGTAGGGAATAAAGACCATATATTTTTAACTAACCGGAGCATTATTTGTCTCTTCGCAAGGATTCACGAGACCTCCGGAGAAAATGTTAATTACTCTAGAACCATTTCTCCAGCTCAAGATACCACAAGTAACTAAGATATCGGCGAAACCCGAACCATTAGTCACCAACTTGCGGGTTTCGTCGCAACTTATTAAATCAGAAACGGTTTACTTAGTTTTCCCGAAATTTTTAATGCACATTGCTGCTGTTATTAGCAACTGCTATATTTGTCTCCACTAAAAAAATTATTAAGATAATGTTACTTGAAACATATAACATAGCATGGTACTTTTCTGTAGTTTAATAATTTTTCTCTAACTTAAAAAAAATAAAATTTGCAGAACCAAATTTTTGTTTGCTTAAGAAATTGGGCTTGTTTAATGGTAAAGGAAATTCCGTTTAATAACTTTCTATGATTTTTTTTGTATCCTGTTTTTACAAAGTATAACATTTTAACACTTGTGCTTTCCCGCATACGTTGTTGCGGTTTTAAATCTATTTTCTTATTTAGTCGTATACGGTTGTAACAAAGCCGAGATATGAACATAACTACAGTCATAACGTCCTTACAAATAAGTGAAATCTTCAAAGTAATGCGATCAGCACGTTTCCGGTGATTGAAATCTATACTATACTGTAAGACTGACATTTTTCCGGAAGTTGTGTAGGTTTCATGTTTGTTCATTATTTGTTGTTGTTTCAGTAATCCGTATCAAGGACGAAATCTCAGATCCTACTAACGCGACCCTAGTGAAAACTATTTGTAGCCTGGAAATTTGGCACAATGCCCCATGTGTTTTCTAAATACATTCGACAAGGTTTTACATAAAAATTGAGTCTGAAAGATTTCAGATTAGGTACCACATTATCTGAAGCAACTTTCGGATAACTAATAAGACTTCTTGTTGCCTCTAACTTCCTTAACAGTAATGGTGTTTCAAACATACCTGAAGAGGCGTTAATGTGCATTTATCTTCACTCAAACGAGCCCCCCCTTCCACATTAGCCCCCCGTTCTAACAAAATTCTGGCACATCGAGCATGTCCTTTAGCTGCGGCGTAAGTCAGAGCAGTCCAGTGTTGAGTCTCTCCGTTAACTGCGGTGAAATTAGGTCCAGATATCGGTGTCTCAACATCAACAGACGCTCCAGCGTCTAAAAGAGCCTGAAAACGAATAAATAAGCAGAAGAGAAACATTTATTTGAAAAAAAATACAGTTAATGCAACATCGTCATCATTAATCGCAGCCAACATCAGTCCTGTGTGCCCTTGCAAATTCAAGGTATCCAGTCGCGTCGACACGGGTAGTAAAGAAACAGCGTGTTGTATTAACTCAGGTCGCCCCGTCAACAATAGTCTAAATGCCAGTTCAACTTGAATTTGTCGTGATGCCTCAATATGATCTTCCTCATTCCCTGTGTTTTTCCGTATCCTTAGCATTTCCTCTCCAAGGTTGCGTACTGGACAGTCAACTCCTGGCAGAAGAAGTCGGGCTGCTTGCATAATATCGTCTTTGTCAATGAGGGGCGAAAATCTGTGTTCGCTGTGGGCAGTCGCTACTCGTAACCATTCAACAAGTGGGGGGAGCACAACGTAGGCTCTTTCGTAACACAACTCTTGAACAGCACTGGCTCCTTGTTCGACGTGTTCTAACTGAGAACAACGCATAAAGTAGAACAGTGTTCTGATAGCTTTGGGACATAATGGCACACGAGGTTGCATACGGCTTATTAAATCTTGTAGTTCTTTTAAAGAGCCTACGCAAGTAGTCATTAGTGACGGTTCTGGTGAAGTCGGACTACGTCTGGAGTCTCTTCCTGAACCCACACTAGACATGGAAGCCCATCTGGGTAATGCTAAAGCTCCGGAAGCTATTCTTCCAGCATTTAAGTGCGCGTAAGGCTGGAGTAAACCCCACAAATCTCCATTATTTGCTATAGCATGTTCAAGTAAAGTTGCAGTTAATGTGACTTCAGAATCGCTCGGTAAACACTGGAGGAGGATTTCCTCTAGAAGGTTTTCTAGACCAGCGCAAAGATACACTGCCGCGTATCTACAAACACACCAAGTTTACAAAAGTACTTATTTTTGAGTACACTTACTCATGCACAAATCTAGCCAGTTTGATGTCAGTCATCCAGCGATGAAAACGGCCGATGTGAAACTGTAAGCCTGCTCGCAACGACTTGCTTTGTTTTAAAGCGCAATCCCCGGACATTGCTAACATTGCAGCTGCTCTTAGGGAAGCTTTAATGCACGAATCCGCTAAAGGTGGACAGAGAACAATTCGAAAAGAAACGGTAATATCATGCTTTGTGCAAATCCCTAATGTAGACGATAATCTCTGGATTTCTCTTCCTATTCTGACTAAAGCTCTTTGAAGTAAGTAAGAGAGTCTGGGAATAGTTTCAACACTAACTCTCGCTACATGGTCGCGAAATCGACCGGTTTGTAAAACCCGCAATATACAGTGATTTGTCCATGGCAGGTGCTGCAGTTCTACTAGTCTAAAATCAGGTCACATTTAAAAAGGAAAACAGAAAAATCAAAAAGCAACTGATCACGTAATGACGTCGGTACAAACGTTTTCGTAAATTTCCTAAATTTAAACCGAGTTACCACAACACTTAACTCATTTATAAAATTAAAGTAGTTTTGTCTTCATTTTTTTCAACAGTAGGTAATTAATGGCTAGAAACGAACAACAGAAGACATCGCTGAACACCTTCATTCTATACACGCCAAGTGAAATTTAAGCAATAAAATTTTGAGGTGACATCTATTTTTTGGATGAGATGATTGTAAATCAGTGTTAACTAAGTGTTGCTTACACGTCTTGTTTATGTAATTCTGAAAACAAAGATTGCTCTATTATATTACTTCTTTTGTCACATACAATTGCCATTTAAGGTCTGATTTCCTCTAATGAATCAATTTGTCCGTTCGTGGTAAAGTTGCCTTTTGATTGCTAATTTCTCTCTGACATATTCTCCTATTATCATTACCGGTTATGCGAGTCAACCCATACAAATTCGTCCGCGCTAGTAATGTTAGTATTGATGGTTTCAAGGGAAGAATGTCTCATTAATCGGCGCACCGCGGGTTCCGAGCTCTCAGAACCAGCACTAATACTAGAGTAAGTACTGGAAGATGTGTGTGATCTCATTGTTAGTTGCTGAAGCGCAAGTTTGATGTCTTCCAGACCTCCACTTCCGGTCCAGGGTACATGCAACTACTTAATCATTAGGTAATTTTTTTAAGATTTCCTAATTAACTAACCCTAGCAGGTGTAGCTCTATGACGTGAACGATTATGCTGAGTTGAAGTACGATTTTTTACCGCTTTTTGCATCACTCCTGCTGTCAGACGATCAGTTCCAGAACTGTAGTTTCCTCTAGGAGAGCTATTACCATTGTCTGACATACTCGCATGGCCCGACGAACGGTTTTCGTCCGAGGAACTGTTACAATTTTGAGTTCTTTGGTGCTAAAATTATGTATATTTATGACATGAAAGAAAATGATCCAAAGAGAAAATTTATTATTTTTGTTGACGTTGTGCAACGTACGAATCGCAATTTTGTGTTTTTAATTATGATAAATTTAATTGAAAAACGTTTAATCATCATTCATTTAGCAGATTTTAAATTTCCAAGTACAAATCTTCTCTTTGGGTTATCAAGCCGATTATAACGCGTGGACAATTTTTTCGCTAAATTTGTCATTCAAATTATCTCATAGCGGTTGTTTTTAATAAAATATTCAGATCTTCAGTTACTCGCTTATTTGAATTGCAAATTTTTTGCGAAAAAATCACATCAGTTAACATATTATATACGTGTTATATTATGCCTAAAATAAAAAGCATATAACTTCGAAGTAATATTTAGTAAACTGGAAGCGACAGCTATTTTCGTGATCTACTTCATACTTTTCTTGGTTTCAGGATCACAATATAGTGAGACTCTATATAAGTAAAGCAAAAAAAGGTTCGTTTTCATTTCCGTGTTTTTAACAGCAACTTTTTTTCCTATTGATTGCAAACTAATAAGAAGTTTTGTGTTCAGTATGAAGAGCGACAATTCGAACATGTTCTTAAAGTTAAAAAATCATCGATCCACTCGTATGTTTGACGCCTAGTGAAACATTTATGTTTTATTTATGTATTTTTACAGTTTTATATAAAATCGTGCAGCTTGTCATATCAATAATTATCACTTACCTGTAATCGCAGCTCTTGGATCGTAACGTGGTGGTGCTGCCTCGAGGCTGAACTTCCTGGTGGTGATAATTTTAAGCTCCCAACGGTGTTTCCTGGGGGTGTTTTATTAGGTTCGGTGTCTCTCTCAGGGACCATATTTACAGCAGACGATGTATGAGAGCAGTTATTTTTATTGTACTCCTGACAATTATTTAAATTATTTTTGTTGCTTATAATGTTTGTCTTCTCAGTTTGTTCGCTGAAGGTCGACGTTTTAACATTATTAGCGATATATAAGTGCTGAAAATGCTCCACTTTGCGCTTCGGAGACACCATTCCTTCGTTCAGCTGACCGTCGATATTACTGGAGTGTTGTTGGGTCAGTTTTGCGGGCGTATTCACTCTTGGGTATTCCTTATTTAAGGGACCGTTCGCGTCCGATTTTTCAACGTGGTGATACGAGTGTTCACTTTTCGAATTGTTGGACAACCTAGGACGAAACGAAGTATTACTCAGAAGTCACTTAAATTGTAAGAGTGGTAGCCGGAAAATTACCTTCGTTGTTCTAAATAATATTTTAACATATCGGCTTCCATTCCTAAAGGAAAATCGTCCGAACAGTCCGAATAATACTCATTACAAGTCCGAACGTCTTCGATAATTTGGCTCGCGAGTGAAAACGTGTTTTTGAAAATAACGTTAATAACGTGGCTATTTTCTATCGAGTCTAAACACATATACTCATCTATTTTTTCTTTAATAGTTATCCGCGGGTTGTCCTCTACTCTTTCATCCGATTTTAAATCATCGTTCACGTAAATAACCGATTTGTGCTTATTTTCCACGGATTCAGAGTTTTCTGGAGATGGTACTTTTGGTTCTTCGTTTTCCTCAGGCGGATTCTCTTCGACACTTTCGCTAAACCAGTTGCTTGATTCCATTCCGAAAAAGGTATATTTTTTGGGCTCGCGGCACTCATTTTCCGGTTTACTCAGTATGAAATTATCGGTGTTGCTGTTTTTTAACTGTATCTCACATCCTTTTAACTCTAAACATAACAAACATTTGCAAAATTCATCACAACCCATATTTATTTTTAATGGTAACAGTATTATTAACCAGACACTTCCAAGGTGATGAACAGACTGAAGCAGCGCGAGTTAACAAAATGAAAACACGTGAACCACTTCCCATAGACCTATTGTTTTTTCTTTTTAATCTTCAGTGATAGTTTTTCATTAATTTCACTTTATATTAAATAGGACTCGAGGTAATTAAAAAAACAAACTAATTTTGTGGGTTACAGAAACTACCAAATCTGAACATACTGTTGTTTCTAAGTACACAGAGTGTTGAAAAAGTTCTGCACAAAATTCGTAATTCCGTTAATTGATGTAGTTTTGGAAAATTCTCGGAGAGCTCAGTTTTATTTTTGATGTAAAAATTTATTTTTGTAACCAACCGTTTTTGCAGTGGCGATTATTTTAAATGGCAACTTGAACTTTTTCGTTCGGATTCTGATACATCCAACACAATTGGGAAATACAAATAAACAAAACCTAATAAAACCTCAGATCTCATTGAACGGGCAATACACAATGCTTGCCCACGTGCTGGTATGTGTCAAGTGATTAGTGGATGGCAATTTAATCTTTATGGTAGTTTTGTTGTTATTTTACTGTAGAATTTCGCCTCACATTCGATTAATAAATCAAATTTTTTTTCCGATTACAATAGGATCTTTCCAAAAAAATGTTTATGTAACGTACCAACTATTTTCTATTAGAATCGAAAAGAAAAAGTTGGAGTTGCCATTTAAACAATTCGTTGATGACGTCACTGTGAAAAACAAAGCTCGTTACAAAAATTAAATGTTTACGTTAAAAAGTGTGATTTTGAAAAATAAGATTGACTCGTCGCAGGATTTTTCAAGAAAACGTCGATTAATGGAATTGTGAATTTTGTGCAGAACTTTATCAGCACTCTGTAGTATTTATCTATACGTAACAAATCAGTTAATTTTGCAATATTATGTTATTAATTTGTTAGCACTGTGATCCACGACATCATCGAGAGTGTACTCTATCTAAACATCAAAATGTAAAATGAAAAAATTTTGCCATGAAATGCCAAACTTATTGTTATGCCGAATTGTGATCGATTTTTATTTTACATAGAGTTTGTGGTAACTTGTCATTGATTTATAGTAGCTAGAAGTATACTCTATCCTTTTCACTTGTACGCTAACCAGGTCTTTCAGGTTTAACAATGAAAACAAAAAGAAACAAAGATACTACAACAATCGTAAATAAATATTTCGGTTATATTGGTGTACTTAGTGTAATAATAAAAATAGATAACGAGACAAGTCCAGTTTTGACGCAAGAACTTCGAAAAATTGTATGTGGTACAAGTGAAACGGATTTAAAGTTTATCACTTCGTGATGGCCGCAGAAAGTTTTGCTTTCACTTTATCGCTTTTTAAAACCAACATAACAAATCGATTTTACGCCTAAAATTGCATAAAAAAGTCCTCGATAATATTTTACTTAAATACCACTTTCAAGATATTTATATCAAGTGTTCGATTGAAAAAGTCATCAAGTTGACCTTGGTTTTTAAACACATTCTGAAGTTTGTCTACAATAAAACTAAAACTGAATGGATGACAGATGACAACGGGGCAATGACAATTATACCACACAGTATATGAGTTACTGAAACACGCGTTTTTCGCTACGTTTTCTTCTATCAAACAAACGCCAACTTGATGATTTTGTCGATTATGGGAATAGTTGTTCTAGAGCACTTTTGTTAACAATTTAAATTTACTTGAAATTTTCATTAAACAAATTCTTTGATGTTATGCTTTGCGAATACATGTTGTATTATTCTGTTCTTGGAGCGTCACGCTTGTCTGATTCCAACTGTTTTTTTTTTAATTGTAACCCTCGTGTTAGCACTTGGGCGGCATTATTTGCTCGAAGCTTCTTTAGAATTAAGGCATTAACAAGTAGAAAGACGAATCAGGACAATTTAAAAAAATACTGGTCAAAATTCAATCAACATGGTTGTTGGAAGATACTTTCGCTTAATCATTCTGTTAAACATATTAAAGGTTCCCAAAGATTGAAATGCCGGGGCCATCCCATAAATAACAGAGAAAGGAGCACATTGTAATTTTTCGCAAATTAGTTGAGAACTATTAAAATTTTCTATTTGGACATTTAACAACTACAACATAATTCTAATATTTTTAATTAATTTAACTCTTAAATTAAGACAACGACAGACAAAGACTTGCTCTTTCTTGTATAAAATTTTCGTCGTTTTTTGTTTAAATCAAAATATATAATTTTAAAAACGAGAAAAAATTAAATTAAAGGTTATCAGGAAGACCGTAAACTATTACAGGTGCTTGCTAAATTCGTCGACAAAAAATATACAGCCGTCGACAAAATTATATGTACAGTTTGTTCGGAAAGTTTTGCGTCCCTCCCATGACTGTTGAGCAGGTATTAACGTTTTAAAAATTTTGGTTTGTAATTTTTTCACCACCGTCAGTATTCACAAAAATGATTATTATTAATTTCAGGCAAAGTGATGAAAAATTTTAAATAACGTGAAAATTAATTCTCCTTGAACCCAACCAATATGAAAATAATAGAAAAAAAAATGCAAACATTATTTCAACATAATTTTAATATCATGTCTGGAGTAGGAACTTTTTCCTTTATCTAATAAATGTTCTAAGTTCGAGTTTAGATGTCAAAAAAAACAAAGTTTAAATTCCCAAGTGTCCTCATTTTACTCAATACTTTTCGTATACGAAATAATTAATTTTTGATTTTATAGTAGGTACTTGTAAGCTCTCCTTCAATCATAAATAATTTACATCAGGTATAATAGTAATTTTTTACGTATGGATATCTTATCAGAAGTGTGGAGGGAACATAAAATATAAAAATTAATGAAAGACGCAAAGAACAATAGGTCATCACGCGTAAACACAACCTTGACGTGTTCAAGATAAAATAATGCATCTTCCCATACTTTCCTGGATGAAAAGTAGTTCTACTTTCTACAAATAATGTCTGCTAGTTTGTATTCTCACATTTCGTCTTAAATGTAAAGAACAATGATTAGGTGAATTAATTCAATTAATTATCAATTGTGTGAACCAAGAGGTACATGAAAAAGTTTACTTAGAAAATATTAATTAATACGAAGAAAGTGAACGTGACATGTAGATGACAGATGTAAGGGAATTTTAGTGTTTTCTTTAAGTACATTATTAAAACATTAATAGTCATTATTTACTTAGTTTAAAAGTGTTTGCTGTTTGCTGAACGTCGTCAACACGGTAGTGAATAGCGTAGTTTTCGGTGCGAAAATGTAAAGCGAAAATGAAAATGTTTTCTTTTTATTCTTGGATTTACGTAAAAACTGAATGATTAAATTTTAACTGATTAACATTCTGTAAAGACTAAAAAGACAAAGGTAATATATTGTCAAAGTTTCAACGAAGTCTGTTGTTTAATCTCTTAATAACCATAAATAGAGAGTAAAACTTTTAAATGACATTTTTTGTAGGGGACAAATATACAAACTATAAATTTAATGTAGCCTTAAAATTTCAAATTATTTGTAAGGTTAGTGTCAGGAACAAATTTTTTGAAAATGTTTCTATTTTGACATTTTGATCGACGAAATTTTACTAGTATAAAGCAGTTAAATATTTGCACCAAATATCGTAGCAAAAATTGTTGTCCTCTTTTTAAAACCACTTCGGTGAAAACATTTCTTTTCATCCCCTCAAAAAATTTTGATGTCATCTTAAAATATTGGTAAGCACTTCTCTCGTAACATATACAATATATACTCTCTCTTACCTGTGTTTTAATAAACGACCCCCATTTTTAGAGTTACGCGTAAGGGAAAATTTGATATTAAACATTAACGTTATTTTTTTTTACTTCATCCGAAAAACCGACGACGTCACTTTACGATTATTAAATACTTAAACACCTACAAAAATACTTTCCAACATGCATGTGTTACGTTGTACTTCAAGACGAAAAAATCTAAGTGTAAATAACTTTGTAGATTAATATTTACACTATTAAAAGTGAAAGTGTTTTGATATTTTTTTGTCAAACTAAATTAAGAACATCATTAACACTGATAATAATTAGAGGCCAACACTATTTTGCCCACGGGAGCTGAAAATCTATTAGTAGAAAATTGTTAAAATTTCTGAAATGATTAAGAATAATTTTCAACTAAATAACAATTTGAAAAAGATATCATTTAAGCCACAAATCGCGCAAAACGTCTTCGCTAAATTTCACGAACATTTGAAAAAAAATCTCGCTGACCACGTACCGTCTGGGTTTTGGCCTGAGGATCTCATGATTGGCATCTGTAATGCATAACGGACTGAGGGGTCCAGAAAGGTGGTCCACCCCCGTCCAGGACTGCTCCGGGGGGTCGTTGCCGACCCCGTTCAAGGGGGCCAGCTCCCATCCGGCGGGCCCCTTTTGGTGGGCCAAGTCGCTCTCTACGAATACCAATAAACTCATTAATTCCCTCCAGCATCAGAGGCTCACCTGTTGCTCCATCACATTCCATTATAATATTCGGGCCAATTTCGCACGATTTTCGTGAATCACATCAGAGGACGGTCATGTCGGATTGAGAATGCTGATTTTCGGCAACTTTCGAGGGGTTTTCCATTCAATATTGCCGTTTCTTCGGGTAAATGCATGGGCTTAACACTTGTGACTGATCGCACTTGTAAACATTACCTTGACCAGCAGCGCCGCAATCGGGATGGCCCAAAGAAGCGGACGAAAAGTTGCCGTACGTTAGGCCAGACGACCTCTTCTTAGGTCGGAATTTATTGTGCGCCTATGGTCGCAAGAACTGGTTTTCAACAATGGGAACGTGAGGTGATTTGAGTGAAATCAACAGATTCAAATTTTATTTAGATTTTTCCGCTTGGATAATTCGCGGAAAAAACAAGGCTAGTAAACGGGGTTTCAGGAAACTTAAACAAAGTGTGGTCCGAACGAGGAAGAGGGGGAGTGGATAAGATAAGTCATTTTTGGGGGAAAATCTGTCTTCGTATTTGTGTACAGTGAACTTCAAAACAAACACAGGATAAATGATTAAGTATCGGACTAAAATGATGTTCGTGCCGGGCACTGATGCATGCACATGTATGGTGCGTATAATGTTAAATAAAAATTGTATTACATAACTTATTTCTTGTTATGATTTAATACTCCATTAATTAAATTTGATATAAATATTAGAGCGGCATTAATGAAAACATACTTACATATATTATTTAGTAAAAGGCAACAATGAATGCAATAAATTATCATTTCCGCATATAATATTGATTAGTTCGTAAATAAGAAAAATACCTGATCGTCCTAATTAAATGACTAGTCATATACTAGATTTAATCAAACTGAAATTTTATGTGTCCCAAATTAACTGTACATAAATTTTATAGTTCTGTTTGGTCGTTCTTTTAGTACAACCTTCAAACTTTTTCGGTACTAGGTACCTTACTCAAGATATGTAGGTACAATATGAGCTCCTATGAAAGTCAGTAACATTTTTGTGTAAAGAATTTAAAAATTCCAAACATGGGTTTACGGCAGTGGATGACTTATGACAGCTGTTTGAATATTTGCAATCTTTGAATAATTATCTCGTTAATGGCATCCATTAAATTTGATGAACCAATAAAACACAGATGTATTTGCAATTAAAGTAAAGGTTATATGATTTGTGAAAATATCTCCATGAAAGATCCATATTTTGATTTTTTGCTTGAATCGAAATTTTTCAACATTCAGAACTGATTAGGTAGTACCTACTTATGGCATCGATTAGATAACTATAACAAGTAGAAGAGTACCTATGTTTTGTATCTATCTTATGATCATATCAGGTATATTTTTAATTTCTCTTTCGAACTATTAGTTTTCGGTTACAAGGTTAAATTGATTTTTGTGGTAATGTGTAATCTAACTTTGGTAAAAAATGTAGTATGCAAAAAAGAAGTCCAAAATAAACTTGAAAAACCAATAATTAATGTATATTGTGAAAGTTAATAGCAAAAACTTTAAATATCATCCATCAAACACGCTGTAGTAATTTTTATCAGTACATTTACAAACTGTGCTCTAATAAGAGATATTCTGATAACAGCAATTATGCTGATGAAATTTTAGTAAAACTGTTATAGTCTCCCCTAAATAATGTTATAAATTTGAAATGATATTTCAGTGTTCAGTGTTTTTGAGTGAACTTGAAATAAATATGCGTGTGTAGTGTACAAAGATCGATAAAATAAATTGTCTCATTCCTTATTTCTTTTTACCCTGTACAAACGATTCTAAAAAATAAAATAAATAATATGAATATGAATAATAAACCACAAGTATAGGCTCATAATAGTTTACAGAATTTATTCGGCAAAATTTTAAGACAACGTCATGAATTGGGAAAGGATTATCGAATACATTTTCAACAAAGATTTATCATGCTGACGACCCGTGGCGGCGTAAAGGAGAGGCGGTGGGGGAGGTCCGCCCCAGGTACCAAGCACCAAGGGGTGACAACGACAACTCACTCGCACTGCCAGAGAATCCTTACAGAAGAATCACTCTGCAAAAACATCTGTACGGCAGACAGACGTACAGACAGATAAACAGACAGACGGAAACGAGAGACCTGTTTCTTCGTACTCTAGCGGTCATGAATAAAGGTCGAAAAAATGTAAAAGTAGAGAGTCGGCCGACGGACTTCATTACAATACTTCCTAATATTTTGCATTTTTTTTCTTAATATACACATCCATCTTTTCATAACAAGAAACTTAAAACATGGTTAAAATGGTTTATGCAAGGAAATATGGGTTTTGCAATTATAGGGCGGAGCCTAATTGCAAAATCGATATTTCGATTTTAAACATATTTTAAATTTCATATTGTGAAAAGAAATCTACACATATTAAAACAAAAAGGCAAAAAGTAAGCCCGCCCACCCGCCCTATCTCAATTGTAATGATTTTTTTCATTCGCCCTGAACCAAGGGGACTCAGATTAACTGCAAAATACTCATTTCTTTACAAAATCTTAAAAATATGTTTTAGAATATTGTGTTGTTCAAAGAATACTATGTATATTGAGAAAAAAAGGCAATATAAACCCCGCCCACCCACCCCATCTCCTTTGTGATGATTTTTTTTTATTTTTAGAAACTTAAAACACGTTTCAAATGGTAAATTTTTGTAAGGAAATATGGATTTTGCAATTAGGCTCCGCCTCTCAGGGCAGTTATGGATGGGACTTGATTTTTGGCTTTAATTTTTTCTTAATATACCTAGTATCCGTTGAATAACACGATACTCAAAAAAATGTCTTACATGGTAATTTTTGTAGAGAGAGAAATAATAAGAATTTAGCATTTAAATTCCGCTCCTTTGGCTCTCGATAATTATAAAAAAAATCATCACAATTGAGATAGAGCGGGTGGGCGGGGCTTATATTTTGCCTTTTTTCTTAATATACCATCACGGCCAAAAAAAGGAAACACCTAAATTGCTCATGTCATCGATTTTTATTTAATTTTTCAATTGTATTTGTTAAATGTATTTTGTGTCTGCTTTAGAATGAACGTCTCTGATTTCCTGACGTCTTTTAACATCAACGTGACAGAGAAATTGCACTTACAATAGAAAAATTAAATAAAAATCGATGCCATGAGGAGGTTAGGTGTTTCCATTTGTTTGGCTGTGATAGTACGTAGTTGTCTTTTCAAAACAAGAAACTTAAAACATGCTTACAACTGTAAATTCTTGTAGACAAATATCGATCTTGCAATTAAGCCCCGCCCCTCGATCTGATAACGAATGGAAAATTCGTCACAATTGAGAATTGAGATCGGGGCGAGTATGGGGGGGGGGGGCACATCTTCGGCTTTATTTTTTTCTTAATATACATAATATTCTTTGAACAACACGATACTCAAAAACATGTTTTTAATTTATCACAGAGAAATAAGGATTTTGCAGTTAAGCTCCGTCCCCTTGGCTCACGACAAATAAAAAAAAATCATCACAATTGAGATAGGGCGGGTGGGCGGGGCTACATTTTGCTTTTTTTTCTTAGTATGTGTAGACTTATTTCGACAACAAGAAACTTAAAACCTGTCTAAAATGATAAATTTTAACTTAAATCCAACGCTTTTCTTCTGCAACCCTTTTAAATACGACAAATTGAACATCAAAATTACTATCGGTGCCAAACCACGCTACGTCGCCACTGCTTACGACAATCTTAAAACATTTGCAAGATTTGAGAGCATTCAGTTTTTCAACTACAAAGTTAAATTATAAAATGTTGTTATAATATTTTGTTTTTTTTTCGAAAGTTTGAATGCCTAGCTTAAAAAATCAAGATGGATTCATAGACTCCAAGTATAAAAAAGTGCCATTTACATCGACTTAAATAAGCATACAGTCAAAATTAAGCAAAATTAAAAAGCATCTATAAAACCACGTCTCTCAACAATAGTATAAATTCACGCACTAAGAATGAAACTTGTTTTAGTTTAACATATATTTGACTTTGCGCTAATTATAGGTATATTTTTTAAGTTACATTAATTTAAGTAGATGTGAACAATACTTAAAAGAGTATGTTATTTTAGTTACAAAAAAAGTCAGTCGAAGTGCCATTAAAGTCAGCTTTCATATTATGTTATCCGTAACTCATACATATCAAAATAATTTTATTCTTGCGTGTTATTCAAATCTGAGTCATTCTCTAAAAGTCTTTTACAATGAAAATTTATTTTATTTCTGTCATTGGCACGATATATGCTCTTAATTTCTTTCCCCATGTAGTATCTTATTGGTTCAATTGAAATTTATTACTCGATAAGTAGGGAAACGGATTATACTCAATTTCTGAGACTGTCGTATTTTAGTTCAGAAATCTGAAATTAGCTGCAATATAAATTAAAAGACTTTATTTTTTACAGTCAAAAAAGCAGACACAAAAAATAAACACTACTTTTATAACAATTACTAAGTTAACCCATTACCCGTAGTTCCAGATTTCCTACGTCTCCTGTATATCTGCTCTCCAGAGTTCGATATCGATATAAACAACGTTACGTTACGGAATAATTACTTACGGCACGTTTTTGCCGCGGTACGGGTTTGAGTAACCTCGTTACGTGTGTTCTTACGCTTAATGTTGGCTACTCTGCTAAAAATAGTGACGTTTTTGTCGGCGTTTGACAGACTTGGCAGTTTATGTTTACGACACGTCAGGTTGGTGGAAATTAAAGGCTTTAACTTTTTAGTTCGTAATCTTTTATAAAATGGAATAATAATTTACTGCAACGAAATCATTATTTGCATATTAAATTTAGTTGGAAGCAATGGGTAAGCAGATTCACGTTCCAATAGTTTAAAAACAATTTTTAGGTTATACAAACATTTGTAGGTGTTCTATTCAGTTATTTTAAAAGCCTTTTGGGTGCTCGGGAGATGCGAATTTTGATTTTAGGCTTAGATGGGGCCGGTAAAACTACTATATTGTATAGGTTACAAGTAGGTGAAGTTGTTACAACAATTCCTACTATCGGATTCAATGTTGAACAAGTCCAGTATAAAAATCTCAATTTTCAAGTATGGGATTTGGGTGGCCAGACAAGTATAAGGTACGTAGAGGCACGCACGTTATTACGTGGAGAAAATAATAAAATTTGCTTCCTTAGGCCATATTGGAGGTGTTATTATAGCAATACAGATGCAATTATATATGTGGTGGATTCAGCTGATAAAGAAAGAATGGGTATTTCAAAAGATGAATTATTTCATATGCTTAGGGTAATTCTGCCCCTCTGTGTTAAAAATGATCTTATTTGTTTGTTTGTAGGAAGAAGAATTAGGAGATGCAATTTTGGTAGTGTTGGCAAATAAACAAGATATACCAGGGTGTATGTCACTTAAAGAAGTACATCAAGCACTTGGCCTCGAGGCTTTAAAAAATAGAACTTTCCAAATATTCAAAACATCAGCTACTAAAGGTGAGGGACTGGATATGGCCATGGAGTGGCTTGCAAATGCTTTAAAAAACAAAAAATAACAGTAATTTATCACAAGATGTTTCTAGTCTTATCAAAAATTATACGTTTTGAAATTGTTTCATTATTAGCTGATCGTTTGGATATTTTATTTGAAAGCTTGTTTTCATTTGTGACATTTGATTCATTCCAACTATCATTAAAGAATCATACTATTTGCAAAGTATTTAAGATTTCATACCATGTTTTGTATTATAGACTTAAATAAATGTGGATATCATTCATACCAAACACTACTCATTCTTTCACCTAAAGAAACTGATGCCCAGTTGTAGTGAATTTAAAATATGTTCTTATGTATATTTTTATTTTTACTGATGTCTTAAATACAAAAATATCATAAATAAAGAGCTTATATACACTACAACATTCAATGTTAATTTGCTGCTTCAACATAATCCATCAATGATTTGTACCTTATCTGCAAATATTTTGAAAGACTTGGAACGTGTTAGAAAGCTCTAACTAAAAGTAAAATAAATTATAAAAGTGAGCAGCAAACTAAGGAACAATTTATAGCTTAGTTAATGACATTTGATTAAATAAATATACTATTACATATTTATATACTTTTTGTGTTTCCTTAAATGTACAGATAAATAAGATGATGTGGCAAAACTCCTATTGCAAATGTTGCATGTGTATGGCTTCTCTCCCGTATGCTTCCTAATGTGAACATTTAAACTACTGCTCTGGGTGAATTTTTTTCCACAAATTTCACATGTGTAAGGTCGTTCTCCAGTATGTGTTCTTATATGCTTCTCAAGATATGTTGCTCTTGTAAATGTGCGATCACATATGCTACAATTAAACAAGTTCTCGCCAGTGTGTGTCCTTGTATGTTCTTGCAGATATGCAGCTGTTGTAAATTTTTTATCACAAGTAATGCAGGTAAATTTTTCTCCTGTATGTTTAACCATGTGGGTTTGAAGTTCAGAAGCATAGTTACAAACTTTGTCACAAACTGTACATTTATATGGTTGCCGCCCTGTGTGTTGTCTCATATGTACAGTTAGTTGTGAAGAATGTGTGAACTCTTCATTACAAATTTTACAAATGAATTTTTCTCCTGTGTGTTTCTTCATGTGAACTGTTAAATGAGAGGATTGGGTGAAACTTTTTGAACATAGAGAGCATTGCCACGGTCTATCCCCTGTGTGCGTTTTTAAATGTGAATTTAAAATATATCCTGATGTAAATTTCTTGTCACAATAACTACAAGCAAATGGTTTTTCCCCCGTGTGAGACCTCATATGAACTTGAAGGTCACTCGCTTTTATGTACCTTTTTTCACAACAGTTGCATGCATAAGGCTTTTCTCCAGTATGTATCCTCATGTGAACTGTCAACTCAGCAGTAATTGTGAAACGTTTCTGACAAACACTGCACTGAAAAGGCTTCTCACCTGTATGTCTACGGATATGTTCTCTTAAATGTGATGAATGATAAAATTTTTTGTCACAATATTTACACTCAAATGGTTTTTCACCTGTGTGAGTTCTCATGTGTATTTTTAAATTTGCATTTTTAGCGTACTTTTTACCACAAAGTGTACATTCAAACTTATATGGATCTTCTACAACTATTGTAGTTTTAGTCTGTTGAGCCTCCAGACGTGCAGCTGCCGGCGTTAACGAAATATATTGCGGTAAAGGCTGAGTTTGCGTTTTAACTGATTTTGTAGGCACTCCTGTTTTCTTAACAACTTTTTCATACCTTGCAAAACCTGTGGTGGCCACTGAATCTGGAGAAACACTTCTTGAATTTTCCACTTGTTTAGTGGACTTAGAAATGGTTTCCTCATCAAGAAGACTAAGATAATCACTGTTTGCTGAAGTATTTTCCTTCTGTGGATGTTCAATGATATTGTTTTGAATATGAATTGTACTTGTTAACTGATAGTCGTCTAAATTAGTGTAAGAAGTAACTTTGTCTTGCCCAAAATACTGCTGTGACGTGTTTTCCGAGTGAATACACATCAATCGGAAGTCATATGCTACTCTAAGTTTCTCTGTACAGTTTGAACACATTAAATTTGAGTATCCAGGTTTTGTCCATGCCTGAAGAAAAAACATTCAATGGAAAGTTTTTATACAGGTGTTAACTTACTATATCAGATACGCAGGCTATAAGTTTATCACATAATTTTATATTGTCACTATCTAACGTATTTAAGGGGGTTAAAGCACTTTCCACTCGCAAACATGTGCGACAACAGTCTGTTAATTGAAAAACACTATTCATGTTTAATTGTTGAAAGTTTTTTTACACCATTTTTACATTAAAAATTTATTATTAATTCTTACCGTAGCGAATTTGTTGTATTTATAAACATTAGTTTTGACAGCCATGTCAAAAAATAACAAAAAAAGAGTATTCGGAAGGGGGCAGCACTGTAGCAAATTTGAAACAAAAAAAATTGATTTTGTAAATTAACACCTAAATCGTCATGAGCTTTATCATTTAATTTCTAATGCAATTAATTGTTTACACATGTTTGAAACATTTAAATTTATTTTAATTTATTACAAAAAGTATCTGTTGGTATGCCTGCGACGGCTCCGCAAAATCATGTTGGTGCCGGATTTGTTACCAACTACTCTTGACGTTTGTAAATTGCAATTAAGGTTATAAATTAACTTTAATTCCATGTCTGATCAAATAACTTTTCAAGACAGAACTCCCAATGGAATTATTATGGAAAACATAATAAACGTCGCAGACTGCTGCAGGGCGTGTTTACGGATAGATTGTTCATTAACACCCACAAGTGCACAAGACAATGATTCAATAAAATTTTGCGACAAACTACTGTCTTGCGTTTCGGAAGTTGTAAGTTATTTAGTTAAATTCATTGCCCTGTAGTATTTTGTATTAATTTAATTTTTGTTGCACTCTAGATGTGGCAAAAGGAGGGTTTGCCGTCGTTAATTTGTGCAACATGTATAGAGCGACTCCGTGTGGCCTACGACTTTCGTAATATCTGTTTACAATCCGATCATACGTTACATCGATACATAAGTCATCTCCAGGAAGATAAACAGTTAGGATCTAGAACACTTACAACACCAACAAAATTTGACTTTGCCTTACCCACGGGCAATCAAGACGAGATACCCATTAGCGTAGAAGAGCCCCAAAACGCGGAATACCTTCATTTAAAACATTTTCTCGACAATGAAGAAGACTTGGCCAAAAACGACGCTTTAGTAGATGTCCCTCGATCGAACAGTGTGAGTCCAGATCCATCCACAGCAACAGGTATAGTTATTTTAAACACCCAGGAACATGAATCTCCTCCAGAGCAAGAACAACCCCAGCCGCAACAATTACCACAAATGTCTACGAATTCTCAGGTCCATCAGCAGATTCAAACAATTCAGACCATGCCTCAGCTCCAGCAAACTCATATTGCTGTCCAACCCCGACAGGTGATTAAACGAACAACAGGGATTCAAGTGCGCCCTCCCACTCCTACTTCTCAAGACCACGAAGGAATCGAATTAAAACCCTTCACTTGTACAGTCTGCGGAAAAAACTATCGAAAAAATGCGAATCTGCGCATTCATATGCGCACTCATACTGGAGAAAAACCGTTCGAATGTAAATATTGTGAAAAGCGTTTTTATCATTCGTCTCATTTGCGTGAACATATTAGGAGACATACGGGAGAGAAACCGTTCCAGTGTGCCGTCTGTAGTAAGAGATTTACGATCAAAGGAGAGCTGACGATGCATATGAAATCTCATACGGGAGAAAAACCATACGCTTGTACTTGCTGCGATCGACGTTGCTTGACGGCAGCCGATTTAAAAGTGCACATGCGCACTCACACCGGGGAAAAACCGTTTAGCTGTGTGACTTGCGGGAAGAAATTCGCTAGCACGTACATTTTAAATTCTCACATTAAGACGCATACAGGAGAACGGCCTTATACTTGTACTATTTGCTCGAAGTCATTTACGCAATCGTCACATTTAAATGTACATATGCGCAAGCACACGGGAGAGAAAGTGAGCTGTAAAGTTTGCGACGCGAAATTTACGCACTCTTCTCAGTTAACTGTTCACATGAGGGAACATACAGGAAAGCAGCCCTATAAGTGTACAATGTGCGATAAAATTTGCAATTACGCGTCTGAGTTGCAAACGCATATGATGAAACACACAGGGGAGAAATTCACGTGTCTTACGTGCGACAAGAAATTTACCACAGCGGCGTATTTGCAAGAACATACTAGAACTCACACTGGTGAGAATTTATCTACTTGTCCTGTTTGCGATAGACAGTTTACAAGGCATCAGTATTTGCAGAAGCATATGCGGACGCATACTGGAGAGAAACCGTACACTTGTTTCACTTGTGGGAAACGGTTTACACAGTCTTCGTCACTTAAAGTGCATATAAGAATACACACTGGCGAAAAACCGTATTCTTGTACTATTTGTGATAAGAGATTTACTACTTCTTCAGATCTGTCAGCTCATAACAGAAAACACAAGAAGTACATCAACTTGTAATTGTTGTAAAGTTTAGGTTCAGTGCAATTTTGACAAGATGCTTTACATTTGGATTTGGATACTGATACTGGATAAAACGGAGAATGGAGTGGGAAGGTTGACAAGTTTAAACAACGTTGGGAGTAGCAGAACTGTGATAAAAAAAATAATTATCGTTAGTCGGTGGACAAAATAACACTCACTATAATAATTAGTACTATCAAATCTGTAATAAATATATCAAAACGCAATCATATTATCATTTAATGAGGTCCATAAGTTTAGAATACAGTAGACTTTTTTAGCCGTAAAATCGTACTAGCTTTTCTATGTATTTTGCGTTTTATTTACAATATTCTAAGCTTGCTGTTTTGTACATTTTTTATTTTTATATTACTCTGACCTGTAGTCAAGTTTTCAGTATTATTAAGGCTTCAACTTTTTCTTTCAATTACGTAGCATGCAGGTATGTAAATTTGACAGTTATTTTTTTTTCTTTTAAAAGAATAAGCTTTATAATAAGCGGCCCTCGAACGTTGCGTTTTACCATGTAATGCTGGATGTAAAATATACAGAGTGAGAGCTAGAGACCGCAAATTTTTTGAAACCTTACAACTGTATCCAAAAACTGAAAAGGATGGTAGTAGAAATAACTTTTATTAAGCTGACGTTATCGGGAACAAAATGGTTTACCTGCATAATTAAAACGTTAAAACAAGTTATTGTTATCGAGCGTAATCCGATTACGTGTATGTGCACCTGAATGGGGATTAATGGAATTGATGGTTTGACGTTCGTTCACATTTCTAAAGAGTGGACAATGCATAGAGATATTCCTTTGTCTTTCGCTTCTTCTCTCCTGCCATTTACCGAACTTCCGAAAATATGCTGTTAATGAGAGTGGGCGAAATGTCGAGTCCTAGTTTCATCCGGACAGGAACCATGGCTGACAAGGTAATTGTATTAAAGATTACCGTGTAGCCTCTGAAAAGTGATATAATTTAGTGATGACTGATCGCAATTTATTTATGAAATAAATGGAATCGTACAAAAAGTGAACAGCATTGCAGTCTGAACCCGATGAAATAAACTGTTACAGCTTATACTAAATTAAAACACGTTAAAAAATTACACGATGTAGGTACATACAACGTTTCGTTGCCCAGATGATGCCAATGTTATCGATGAGTATTCGTACGTATATTAGTAGATAACAAATTTATTTCTTTATGTTACTTAAACGATACTTAATTATAAGAAGCAGTATTTCACAAACGAATAACCTAAACTAGTCTAGGTATAGGTATCTAACATTTCATGATTAGAAACGCAAAAACGGAAGGAAGCAGATCGTAAAATAACGGAAGCTACTACTTCACGCACCCTTCTATCGCATTTTGGCAGACAAAGCAGGAAATTTGGCCTCTTATATACTAAAGCTAAATTTTGTAAATACTTTAAAGATCTAACAACGCTACACTTTATCTCGCAACGTTGTACTTAACTTGGGTTAAGTTTCGCCGTCGAGCAGTTGTCAAATTAAAGCGTCGTAATGTGATTTTTGGTATATTTAGTACGCATATCCGTACGGAGAACAGGTATCGTTTTTTTTTAGTATAACTATACCTACATTTGATCTTGTTTTGCCCTTCCGGCGATTGAGAATATTCAAACTCGTGGTCCACAGGGAAATTTATTATTTCACCAACATGAATCAGTAAAAGTGGTGGATTTTTAAAATGTCAACACTTATCGAAAAAATAAAATGGTAAAATGCGTCGTCTTTTCATAACTATGTTTACATAGAAACAGTGATTGGAACAATTACTTTTTGCACTTTGAAAAATTTGATGAAGACACAATTTTAGATATTTGTTGTATGGGTCCAACGGCTCAAGAAAAAACGTGTTAGAATGAAAAAGGCAGTGAGTGATTTATTTTACTACCTAACGCATTTGTTACATATTCACATTAGTAAATACAATAAAACAAATAAATACTTCACGCAAGAGGACGATATTCATAATTTAAATTCAGTAATAACTGACATTCAAAATTTTCATTAGCTAAGGGATGAGGTTTTGTCTTAAAAACATCCGCGCCAACACTAAACATCATTTCCACTGCGGCGCTAGATGGAATTGTTGTGTTATATTTTATAAACATGTCTAAAACATGGAGCACTTTGATTCAGTCTAATTGTCTCCCTTTGTTCTTTAAAAACTTCATCTGAGGGAGTTTGATTATCTAAAGGAAATTTGAAAAAATCTTCTAAATCTACAAATAGACCGCATCGACTAATTTTTATACCTGATTGTTCTTCTAAGGCTATAATGGCATCGGTTTCGTGATCTTTACTCTTTACCCTACATAATAGCTGGAGTATTTATTTGCCGCGTATTATATAACATCGAACTAACAGTTTTTTTACAACTAGCATAGGGTAACATGTTACATATTTTACCAAAAATTGAAGAGCCGATTCTTTTGCGCCTAATTTCATTCCACTTTAGCTACAAACAAAAGTTCGATACCAACTGCAACAACTTTTAAACAAAAATTTGCCTTGGTGGGAGATTTCAAAATATCTTATTGACTACTTGTAAATGTATCGTAAATATTAATCCACCGGTAATTACCTGCGGACGCAAATCTTTTAATTTTTAATAAAAATGATGTTCCTAAAGACTTAGAAGGGGGCTACAAGATAATGTAAACTGAAAAGTCTGGCTTTAATTGCCTCTTACTTGGCGTTGTGACTTACAGATTAAATTTAGAAAACCTTCGAGGGTCGACACTCTCATAAAATTTTATTGTCGGATTATGAGGGATTTAAAAGGACGGATTCTATCGGTTACCTCTTATAGATTTGACTGGACCAGAAAAATGGCTAAAGTTTGTTTGACCACATATTTTAAATATTCTGCCCCTGTTTACTGAATTATTTATTAAGATTTTTATTTCTGTAAAGCGCAATGGATTTTTTAATACAATTTCTACTAATGTACCTTTTTGAAAATATAAAATTGATCCATAAATAGCGAAAACCAGATATATTTATAGATACAATTTTAACACGTTGTACCGGAGGTATACTTTTGGCAAAAACTTACACAGAAGTTTATATGTATTTCTCTATGCTGGAATATGCTTTAGCTCACCCTTAAAATGATGAAGAGCCGTGTATATTATGGTTACCTTAACAAATTCTGTGCTAAACTCGTTTTAGATTTTAACTCCCTACTGGATTAATCTTCTCTTTGTGGGGACGAACCAGGTATAATAATGCCAGTAGGTCAGGTAAACGATTCGTAGAGAAAAACAAAACAATATTTTTGGGTATTTGGCTTAAAAATAATTGCAAAATGTAATTGTGAAATTACTGAATTACTCAAAAAAAGTAATTCGTTGTAATTGCATTACCTACCTCCAACCACTGCATAGAAATAACTTGTTAACTTGTATTGTTTATAGGTTCATATAAATGTTTTTTAAAAATATCTCTTGAGGGCCAAGTTATTAGAATTTTGAAATTATTGTAATCTTTAGTAAATGCTCCTACTTTAATCGGAAAAAGGCAAACGATTTCAGAAGTACTGCCTAAACTCTTTCGACACATGAGTAAAACAGCAGACACGTTCCACTCATTAAAAGAGTGACGTGTCAGCGTATCACTCATCAAGCTAATTAAACTTTCATTTTCACTTAATTATCAAGGTAATTAATTAATTAATCGGAGTACCTACCAAATTTCTAGTTATCGTCCTAATTATGCTCAGGAGTCTTAATTAATATGATTTTAGCCGAATAAAAAAATACTTAATTATTAAACTGTAATTAATTTAGAGTATTTTTCATATGATCAGGTTATCAAATAAGGTGGTTATTCGCACTTTTATTCTTGATAATCGGTACAAATTTTGAAATGTCGGATTTATGTCGAATATCTCAGAAAGATCTTTTTAATTAATACTAAACCAACACATCCAAAATATTTACCATTTAATCGTATAACTGACTACATATTTTCTAGTATCTAGAACACCAGACGGATAGTTTGGGAATAACATATTAGACTTTATTATCTCATTTTTTACCGGTGGATCAAAGCTTGCCTCTGGAATTTTGATTAGTCGCTATCAGTTATATAAGGACAATATAATTATTTATGTAATAATAGGTATATTAAAACAACTTATATTTTACGATAATTTCTTCTTTCGAAAATTAGATGAATATTTGTAGAGAGCACAAAGACATGGAATAATTTATAATAGGACGTACATATTTCTATGTCTACTATAGGGAATAGTAATGCTGCTTTTAGGTTGTATTACTTATTTCTTTCAAAATAATACATTTCTTAGTACCTACAGTGAATTGACTAAAAGAACCGTTAGACCTGGTGAATTGCGGGAGAGTCACCTTTTAGGTGTTCTGGTACTGGTGAAAACGAACCTATTTTAAAAATTTAAAATTCCCATAAAAAATTTTTGCAAACTGCGTTGAACTCACACTCACACGCATAAAAATTGAAGTCGTTGGCAACACTGGGTCAGGCACGCATGTGCGCGATGAAACCACAGAACGTGTTCTCAATGCTTGCATCACGATTCTCGAATGAGACAGCCCTCCTCCTGTCCTTGTTGGCTTGTGAAAAAATATTGACGGCTGGGGTAAGTAAAAACACGATGTAGAAACACTTGATTTTTTTATATTTTCAGATACGATGCAGTGTGAGTTCAACGTTTTTAAATTCAAGCATCCAGAAAAATGTCTGAAGCGGCTTTGGCGCTCGCAACAGCGAATTTCCCGGGGACGTGAAGGTGAAAAATTGTATGATATAAATTAATACATCCCAAAAATTCACACATCCAAATGAACGTTGTATTGAATGAAATTGAAGTCCATGTTGATGTAACATGTTCGTTGAGGGTGTGGGAATGAACGTCAGTTTCACGTCCCCAACCTAGCCGCTAAAGCGACATTAGTGAATGCAATCGGGACAATAAGGATGTCTGAATAAGGTAAGCAAATGTTGACTTTGTCCGTTTTATTTGTACCGCAAAATTTGACATCATTTTTTGCGTTTAACTGCCTGGGACTTTTTGAAAAACGGGTCATGCAAAGTATACTATCTTGGTATTACAAGTTAATTTGTCTACAAAGGCTTCATTTCGTAAAAAAATCTTTATTTTTAAATCAATCCATTACGTTGTGGTAGCGATTGCAATTACGTTTCATTGACAACCCTTCTTCGTGCGGTTTAGGCAACCAAATAAACACGAATAGGGGAATTTTTTAAGGTCGAGTACCGTACATGTTGTTCAGAATAAGATTTTTGTTATTTGTAACTGTAAACTGATAAGACAAAATTAAAGTTCTACATTAATGATAGGTAAATATTATTACTATAGGTGCAACCAAAACGGACAAGGTATATTAACATTTGTCGTTTTACAGATGTCCCAGGAACAACCTTTTTAAGAGTCATTTATATGTGAAAAGATATAAATGACTCGAATAAAAAATTTTATGTGTGAGGTAACCCGCATTAAAATTATTCTGTACTGTTGCATTTTTTGCAGGAGTGGTTCAGAGGGGTCAAGGACGTGGTCATTATTATTAGAAGGCTTATAATTAATTCAGATGTTTTAAATATATTTTTTTATATAAATAAATCGTAAAATGTGTTTTTAATGTGTCGTTGAAAAACAAATCCAAAACATTCCCCTTGTTGTTCTAACTCAATCCAGTCTATTTTTATTGCAAAAGACACAGCCTCCAGGATGCGAAGTTGGAACGATGAAAACAAGAATCCGAAAAAGGGAGATGTTTTGCACGTTTTTTTGTCACAATCACTCAAATATAAAGATGTTTCGATAGGAAGACAAATAAAAGGATGAAAGACAAAACACGGCCAAAGAAATGAATTTTAGTTTTTTTTATGATACATTTAAAATTTTCGTATTTAGCTGATCCATCCATTAAATGGATGGACCTGCATTACTCGATCTAGTTTCGTAAGTTATCCTCATCCGCCTGATCAGACTAGTCAAAGACCTTAGGACTGATGTAAATCTGAGAACATAAATAAAGAAAAACCCGACCCTTTGATTAAATTTAGAAGGAAAGGGCTCCAGGTGGTACTTATTGTGTTCCCATTTATGTTTTTATTTTAGGGTACCACGGAGCCATAGTTTCCGTCTATGTATAAGGGATACAAGATTTTTGTCTGTAAAACTACTAATGAAAGTAGAGTGAAGCCAACATTGTACGTATAAACTAGGAATGCCGGCGTAGAAAATTACACTTAAATCTAGTAAAAAAATAATAGCACCGACGCCCACATGGTTGGCATAACTTCGGAAACTGTTTGTCATAATTGTATGGAAACAAAGGTGTGACAACTCTAAACGCACTAATAGGGCATACTTCCAATTTGTTTTCGCAATAAAGTTAAATTTGTCTTCCGAAATGACCATTCTTAGGTACATATGTAGACTCCAAGAAACCAAAAATGGAAAGTTTACGTCCTGTAGAAATTTGATTCAGGGACATCCGGAGGGATTAAATACAACAAACAATAAGCTATACATAGAGATAAATTAGGGATCGTGACTCGGGCACCACAACGTCATTTGTAATTTGTCTACCCTCAAAATGGACTTTCCCTTTTCTATTAGGAATCTAGGCCCAACTGTGTTACAATTCCATTTTAAGATAAAGTTGCTTATCTACGTAGTAATAATTATAAATATTTATTTTTATTTATATGAGATCATTTGTTAAACAAAAGTTTAACCGATAATAAAGATCATTAATGTTACAGTAGGGAAAATAATCACCTTGATAGCTTGACCAATATGAACAATAATTTAATTTAATCATAATTAATAATAAAGTATCCTGTTTTTTTATTCCATCAATTAAAATTATATTAATATAACTAAAATAAATCTTTTTATGTCCAACGAAACCGGAAATGCTTTATTGTATTAGTTTTACTTACTTTAATTAGTCTAGTTAACAATTACAATAAAAATGGAGACTAATGATTTTTGAGAACAGCGCACAATAAGTGCACACTTAATATAAAAAAGCTTTATATTTTTTTTAGATTATATCTTGAAAAACATCTCTAAACGAAATACCCAGTAATAAATGTGCTTATTTAAAATTTCGTGATTTCGAGATACATATGTTAAAAGCAACACACTTATCTTTTTTTAGAATTTACGATGAATTGTTTTAACAAACAATTTAGAACATGCAAATGCTTACGCATATTCAACAGTGCAAAAACAAATACGTATTCAACGTATTTCACAATGAAACATCCAAACTTCCCTGGAAACATCAGTGTAAGTGGAGAGGAAAAATATCTCTGATCATTTCCGAACATCAGTGATCGAGGATCGAGCTAAACTGCCTTGATCGTTACACAGATGTTGATGCACCGTTCCATTCTCGCCCCACATCTTTGATATGTTTTAAACAGAATGTCGAACTTTACATCCACATCAGTGCCTTCGTTATGTTTTTGGCTTTAAAATAGGTTCACCGAGTGTTTTTAAAGTAACATAAAATCTATGTATTTGTATCTAGGAATACTGTTTCCAAATATTTCGGGGGATATTTACTTGGAACACAACAGAGCTTTCGGAATCTAAAAAAGTGCATTGTGCCTTCATCTTTGACAATAAATCAATTTTTCTGTGTGGCAGCTCTGACGTTAACAAAATTTCAGCCTGCCGAAACTGTTGCAGACGTGGTTCATGGGATTATTAGTTTTTTGTATATTTGGGTTTCTCGTTATTTTGGACACAGAATAGTGAGTTGTGTGTGGGCATACTTCATAAAAGACACGTATAATGGACAATATTGATTTTTTTCGTACATTATCGCCCATTTAAATTAACGACAGAAAAGTTTAATAAAATACAGCTATAACCAGCGCAAACACCGATAAAATTTCAGTAAATACTGTGTTGATATGTTTTAATTATGCCAACAGCGTTTTGTTTACACAAGGTTATTAAAAAACTAAATTCAAATTGTCGCCATGTGGTATTAAATAGGTTTGAATACGTTTTTGTTCAATAATGCGTAATTTATGAGTTATTTCTTATTTATGATCTTAAAACGTGTTGCTGTAAAAAGTAACATTTGAAGATATAGTTTTAGAATAAAGAAGGTGGTTTTTCACTGACAGACGATCTGCAATGGAATTTATTATTGCGGAAAGTTCGAAAGCAACTTTACATCATGATGTTTTGACAAATTTCCGACATGCACCCTCAAATGATTGCGAGTGTATTCTGAATGCTGAAATTTACATAAGTTCTGACAAAAGGTGAAATAGAAATATTAATAAAGGGTCGAAGAGAAACGCTGGAACTTGTTATAAAGATATTTTTCTCACATCCTCCACAATATCAGTTTCATTTATCACAAACTTGCGTAGAAATAGCAGTTTTTGTATAATAGTGAAGAGAATTCTTAGTTATTAAAAGCGCACCGACAGTTTGCGGCACCCTAGGTTCGGTAATATGTTAATTATTAAAATAAAAAAAATATACAAAGGTAAGTAATGTATACTCAGTCGAAATTTTGACAGTCGCGTGAGTTACCTTTGATACCACGTGAGTACTGAAAAAATTTCAATATCACGTAGAAACGCTGATTTATTAATGAAACAAACTGATTCATAATTCTAAAACGTGAATGCGGAGCTGATTTATTATTAAAGTATGTTTTTTTCTGCTAAATTATATTCCAAACTCCCTACAACTGCGAAAATATTGAAAATATTCCGCCTAACGACTCGTCATACTGAATACGGTGTAGCAACAACGGTGATGTGTTGTTTTCTGAAGTGATATTATCTGATGACGTCGAACATGTGAAGTTCGCTGCAACGTGTTCGTAGTGTTTTGGAACATAAACAAGTAGTGATTTCTCGATTGCGGCCTTTACTATTTAGTGACAAAATAGTGCGTCATAATTGTCCTTTCCTTTAGTAATTAATTATAAACAAAGGTAATTACATGACTGTTATTTTCTAATTTAAATATTCCTCCTGTCGAGCCCTGCTGACACTCGACTTTGGTTAGGTTGTTAACGTTACGTTTATGCGTTTGCGTAGTGGATTTCGGGCACGGCCTGCTGGATATATTTATATGCCAGCGCGCTGGATACATACCATGCGATGCGTGTTACAGAATACGAAATTGCGGGCAAACGGTCAGTTTTTGATTTGTGCAGGAGATAAGTCAAACAAGATTTATTTGATAACGTATCTGTGTGTAATTTTTAGCCTGCATTCTTGTAATATTTGCGCCGCTTTTATTTTTATTTTTCGTCAAGTAGGTTTAAAGTGACGCCACTATCTGGTGGTATGCAAATTAGTGTAAACAAATAGGTCAAAACTCTGCATAACTTAAAGAAAATTATAAGGAATCACGTTAAAAAGTTGTTGGTTGCGTTATAGATGACGCTGATACATTTTCATAAATTTAAAATGTGAATAGTTACAAATATTTGTTTAGCTTTCGTCAGTTTTATTTTTAAATTATTTATTTAATTATTATTAATTGTTAAATTATTACAGGGAAGAAAACAAAAGGATCAAACATGTAATGTCTGAGAGATAATAAGCAGTTCCTGCAAAAGATTTGTTGTTTCAGTGCAACGTCAATATTATTTTTAATATGATTTACATACTTAGTTTTATTTGCACAATTAAAAAATTATAAAATTTGTTGTCGCACAATATTGCGTATTAATGGCTCTAACGTCAAAATAATTTAAAAGTTTTAACGACAGCTTTTAGCAAAAATGTGTAATGGAAAAACACTTTGTTGAAGGCCGTTTACGGCTTAAATGTTAAAATATAAGTTCAAGAAAATTTGACACTTTGTAAATGGTTAAGGCTGTTGTAAACGTGTAAATCGCTGATCAAAAGTTATCTGCTTATACCATCCAGAAACTTGATGACGTCACTTCAAAATTTTACTAAGAAAAACTCATGTAAAACATACGTAGTGTCTTTACCTGTAGTGATTGTATCATCCATTTTTATTTTTTAATTTTGTTTATGATCCATTTGCAAGACAAGGAATGTAATGGTTACCTTTTTAGCAAAAATAAAAAAGTCGCCACTGATATTTACTCAAAATGAAGCGAAATAATGATGTACAAATCAAGATTACCCGTGAACGAACGGAGGGTAAATTATTCATTAAATACTGCAAATACCAGTATTTGCCATGTGAAGTTTATTTTCTTTTTTAACATGATGTTTCGTCGTCTGTGTTACCTAATACTAATATAGAAAAAGTTGACCTTTGTTTATATTCTTTATTTAACTCAAAAACAGCCATAAAATACAGGAATTAAAATGTAAGCGACAAATGGTTCATAAATACTTGTGATTTTTTTCTTAAATGTGCAAGCAAATGGATCATATAATAAACAGTTAAATGGGAAAGTGATTCCTCTAGGTGCTTATTTTGTTGAGTAAATATAATATTTAAATTAACTGTAATTAAATTATTTATGTGTAGAGATCAGCTGCGTTATATGTAAAAATAGCCTGAAAAAAATTCAGTTGTTTTTCTTTGATCAATTGTTTCTTAAATGAATGCCATTTACGAGTTTATACTGATATTTTTTCTTCTAATTTTCATGACATTTTTTAGCAAAACGAAGAGTGGCACTGCCAAAAGGTAAAAAGAATCAGAAAACATCTGGTGATCTTGGGGTACATGATGTTTCTTAAACACGTTAATTTACTTAATTTTTTGTTTACAAAATATGAACAAAAGTTCTCAATGTCGTTAGATACTGTTTTCACGAGGAACATATATTTTTTAATGAGAACAGTCTTTTCGTTTAATTTACTATAAAATTGATCATACTACCAAAAGTAGCATTTTAGTCGGCAATGAATGACACTGAAGTGTCGCGGAATAATGATGGTTGGTAGCGGTGTAAATTATCTATAAGACCGCTAGAATTAGTTTTGCATATTTTATATGGTTCCTTTACAACTACATTGTTAAGCGTACACAACGTACACCTGTTTCGAATAATTCCGTTTTAAATATTAATAATCGTACGATTTCTCTAACAGTAATCAATGTAAGAATATCTATATTTGATGTCGTTACCAGTGGCTATATACATAATTCATTTGATGTTTTCGCTGTTTAATAACCATATCGGTATTCTTCTTGACATATCAAATTTTATGAATAAATATGTTAAGGCTGTGTCTAATTTCCCGTTATACCGGCAACCAGTTGTATCTCTCAAAAAGTCGTATGCATTATCGTTCTATTTCACGATTCTTTCAACATTTCCGTTGATTTCGTTAATTTCAATCAATATTGATCACCCGATATAAACTCACAGCATAGGTTTTGTTTCTTCAAAATAGTTTTTACATGCGACACTATATCCTCTTATTTAGTGCGATAAAACCGGTTATTGGTTTCTTAAGCCTTGGTCATATTTTCAAAAATTTTGTTTTATTTTGAATTTTGAATTGTAACTGTTAAATGTAATGTTGATTTGAACCCATAGTACATGTATGATTTTATATATAATCTTCATATTCATTCTTTTAGACGAAATCCTTCTTTAAATCATACTTCAAAACAAAATATCCAGTTTGGTAGCGAACGGCAGTAGATTGCCATTTCTGGCTTTCACGATTTTGATTCCCTCAAGTTCTTTAGCTCTTCGGTGGTCGTTTGGAATCGACGGAAAAATATAGGACAGTGCCATTTTTCGGGAGTGTCGATAATTAAAAAATTAAAAAAAAATGGTCGAAGATTACTTCGACAGGCCTTCCCTCGCCTATAAAGTACAGCTTGTCAAATCCAGCTCTGTCGAAAAATTAAAAGATTGGATTTTGCAAATTTTATTGTTTTATATGGCAATAATAAGCTAAAATAAAAATAAAGAAACGTGCTAACTGCTTGTTACACGTGAGTTTTTCTACAGATTACAAAATTTTCTGTTGCTGTCATCCACATGTTTGCAAGGACGCATATATCAGTTTGAATAGAAGTATTGTAATACTTGTAATAGCGATAATACTTATCAACTTATAGATGTGAGAGTAAAACAGAAACCAAACTAAAAGATGTTTTCTACGAATTGCAATAACCGGATCACAATGCCGACGGTCCAGACTTTTTTATTGGTTTGACTTTCGCTTATGGAATAAAACACTGCATTTTATTTTGATTTTCGATGTAGTAATTCACATTTGGTTAATTATAACCTGTCTAGATCTAGGAGAGGCTCAGCATCCCGTAGCCTCCCCCTAAATATAGCCTTGTCTTGGGGTTATGAAATTGACATATCTAGAAAATATGAAAGTACCAAATTGCCCGACGGACTCCATTACTGTACGTCCTTGGGTTATCCTCGATAAGAAAAACAAGTTGAAAATGTTTATGTTTTTACATCGGAAGAATGTCACGTAGAAATTAGTTTGATTTGAATAAGTTCGTCCTTTCAAAACAGAGGATCAAAACTATTAAGTAGTAAGCTACAATCGACAAAATGATCATTATTATAATTCTTCTTAAATAAAGACGTTTGCATTGTCACATTTTCGGGAAAATGGGGTGACTCGTTCTTAATTTGATCAATAAAAATATGAATGACAAGTAAAAACTCATAATATTTTGCACATTTTGGGTAGAATTTATTCGGCAAAATTTTGAAATAACGTCATCAATTTTTTGAAAGGAATAAACAGATTTATTTTGATTAAAAATTTACCATTTCAAAGCATTCAGTTTTGCAATTCTTGATTTATTCAATAAAATAAATTGGCTGATTTATAAATTTTTTTGAGTCACCCTGTTTAAGTAATTCAAAAAAATATTAATACAATGATAAATTAAAGTATAGATTGATCACATTTATATATCATATAATTTTGAATTTTTTTCCAAAAGTCTGGACGTTTCGGGTAAAAACTCAACACGGCGTCATAAGCTACAAGTGTAGGACTATGTTATTTTATACAATTTAAAACCCATTTACTATGTAGAATTTTGAAGTGACGTCATCACATTATTGGTGGGGATGACTAGACAAATTTTAGTTAGCGTTTTACCATCTACATGTTGTTCCTAATGTAAATATAAAATTTGACAACAATCGGCTCAGTACTTTCGGAGATTATCTATCTAATAAAAATCCGAGACGACAGACAGACAGACAGACGGACAGAGAGACGGAAACGGGAGATCTATTTCTTCGTACTGTGGGGGTCATGAAAGGTCGAGAAAACGTAAAAATATACTACATGTTTCGAAAAAAATATCTTTGTATCTGATCGAAATTCCATTGCTAGAGAAACTTGAACCTGTTGAGTCCGTTTCTGGCATCAGTTGGCAGTTGTTGAGTATTTTCTTTGTTTTAGACCAAATTCATTTTTAAACCATATTCGAAAACAAATTTCAAATTCACATCCCATAACTCGTAGGTTCAGATTTCTGTCTTTCACGATTGATTGTTTGACGTCTTTTGGTTCTACTGGTGAATTTTGAGGGCAAAATCGATGTCCCTTTGGAATTGGCGTATAAAAACATCGGACAAATAATTGTTTATTCCTCCATTTTTGAGAGGGAAATGCTGTGCAAACAAATGTTACAAATTGATACAAATATTTGAATGTAAAAGTAAAGTAAGTGAACATATTACAAGATATTACGATGGTGTGGCGGAAAATTTAAATGTGAACAAAAACCTACAGACCGTATCGGTCCAAATTTTAGATCACGGCTCTGATCAAGGCGATCGAGCTCTTCTCAGTTTTCAGCGTTACCTTGTGTTACATTGCTTCGTAGACTGCTTTGGATAACTTGCACAAAAAATCCCCCCTGCTAACATTGTTGCAATTGACGGATGAACTTCAACTTTGTTATTGTTGGTTAAAAGAAGTCCCGACACGTATTAAGTTGAGAACAAGTTAGAAAACTGTCTGCGGCGTCTCTTTTATACAGATGATTACTTAAATGAACTACTGGAACAGCAAAGCAAACAAAACTTCTTTACGCCACAACGTAGCAAGATCTTTAAATTACAAAGAATTTATATGGCATTAACTTATGTATAATCTAAGTGAAGGTACATTAAATACGGCCAAAATCAAAATAATAATTCGAGAATAAATGTTCAAATTCAAGTCGCACTAAAATAATACATTAATAGAAGATAATATAAACAAAATGCATAATTAACTTATGTTACCCTAATAGTCGTTGGGTAGGACAGTGGCGTCGTGTGCGATTCATTTTACTTATGCCCTTCAGTGAAATTCCAAAATAAAATAGACGTACTCTTAATTTTAACATGTGTACTCCAGTCATGGCTGATTGTCTACGTTACCGAAATGATTTTATTTATTCTTCGACGTTTTTTTTTGGGTGCCAAATTTATTTTTTAAAATCAGGACACCACAGTTGCTTTAACTGTGGCGATCGTAATCAATTGGAAATTATATGAAAATATGTGTTTAACATATTACATATTGGAGAAATTTGTGTAGCAAAATGTGAAGCGGCAAATGGACAAATAATCATAATGATTGACAGTTACGTTTCACCTAATCAACTACAAATACAGTCATTAAATTCATCGATAAAAGTATGCTCATTTATAAATAACATCAGGGTCAATCTTGTCTTATATCAACTCCCAATGTTTTTGAGTGGGCAGTTCAATGTGGTTTATTTTAATTAATTTTTTAAAAACTTTGATTCATGACTTTAAAGCCAAATAATTCTTATAAAGACTGAGTAGAAGTTATCTTCGTCACCGGCAACCAGAAAGGCTTTTGGAATGTTACTTTTGTAATTTGGGATTGAGATTATTACTATTGCTCCTTTGTCTCGTACATCGTCAGTTTTCATATTTGATAAATAGTTCTTTCCCACGATTCATGCCTGCCAGATCCGCTACTAATACTACCTACCATACATCAAAATCACCCTTCTATCATATTACTCAACATCCAGTGACAAAAACTAATCAATTGAAGGTTCCATTGACACTGATTTACGTCAAATTGAGGACAGTAATACCACTCAAAGCTTGACAGGCAACGCCAGTTCTAATTCAATTTATTTTCGATTGCCCCGTATTACAATCACGTAAAGTTCTAAACAAATTATAGTGGGCTTTACCCTTCCTGATCAGTTGCTTACAAAGAAATTAATCGATGGTATGTCTTTAAAAAAATTCAGACGTTTTAGACTGTGACTAATAGATTTTCGCTTTAGAAACCCAATAAGCTTTAAAAACATTTCGATTTGGTCGACTATTTAACTTAATTAAGACTAGTAAAATTTTTTGTTTATTCAACATTCCACGTATTTTATTTGGTACAAAGTGTCGTAAAAGCAAACCCGTGCAACAGTTAAATAGCTTTCAACGCGTAAATTAAAGTGAATCATGACATTAATAATGAATTGAAATTATTAAGATCAATATTGCATAGGCAACGACTTCGCATTTTATTGACGAGTTGGATTAGATACCAAGTGTATCGCACGGGTTGGATATTGTGAAGTATACAATGTAAAGTAATACTTTTAACCTTTATTATGAAAGAAACCCAACCCTATTATATTCCTTTCTAGTCATTATAACTAACCTCCAATTTTCGAGAACACATTCGTGTAGATCTCTTTAACAAAAATTAATTGTATTTTTATCGTTATTACACCACTTTCAGATGTCGACTTATGGAAATCAACCGGACTATTTCAGCCAGAACAATGAAGCTACGTTTAACTTTGAAATGCCACCACAGCAGGATTTTCAACAGGAATTGTAAGTAAACTTTTATTGCGTTCGATACAGTTTTCTAGTGAGACGTAAATTCTGGCTCTAGGATTGATTTATGTTGCGCATACAATAGAACGCCAACATTTTTTAAGTTGGTTCTTAAAAATTTAAGTTATGTAAATTCTTTATAAGATATATAGCTCCTTCCAGTATCTGAAATGCTGAACCAGTTTTACTTTGTTTTTGACGTTTTATTTAATTATATTTTTCTTTGCTGTTGGTTCAGGACAAACTTGATTTTCGATCAATTTGTCTTGTTGTAAAAGAATTTGCAAAGTTGTAATATGCAATGTTTTACGTTATGTAAGGATGTGTTAACCGATAAAGTTTCAAAATGTTTCATTTTTACCGATATAGACACTATTTTTGTTTTAATTTTACGGGCGGATCTTCTTTTGATTTTGATTTTATTCATGTAAAGGTTGTTCGAAAAAAAAGTGTAATTTTTTGGCCTTCGAATTTCGTTTAACTTGTAATTGTGTGATATTTATTTGAAATCAATCATTTTTAATACCAATAAATTGCGCATTAACCCTCGTAGTTCGCTTCATTTACCACATTATTGCAGAGCTATATAATCTTCCCCCACTTAGCAAGACATAAGCCGTTTGTATCATGTAATTGGGTTTTCTTATCTGTGATCAACTTGCTTGTTAATCCTATACAGGTAAGGGAGTTTCAATTTGTGGTTACAGAATTTGAGTGAACTAGATTGGATAGCGGTTTGCCAGTAGTGCAAATTATTAATACTTCCGTGAGCAAAGAAAATGTGATGGATGAGATATTGAAAAAAGTCGTGCCAAGGGTTTTTTGATCGGAGACATTTTACAGCCATCACCCGTATTACTATAGGTGCCGAATTGATGCTAAACTGTTAGAATTTTGTAGCCTATACCAGCTTTAAGACGACGGAGTTCCTGCGAAAATTATCCATCTCCTTTATATATCACATTTCGTTTCGGCAAATGCTCGACAGTAAAAAGCTATTAATTTCCTTTTCCTTAATCACAAAGTAATCAATATCTTTAGCTATCTTTGGAAACGTAGATTTAAAATTACAAATAAATTTATAACCGAAGACCAGCAGATTCTGCAGCCTTTCGAGTTTGTTAACATACCCTTTGAGGTATCTAATTTTAGGCATACGATTTTTGTATCATTAGCAAGAAAATTAATTTTTTTTGTCAGTGTTTATTTTCAATACTGCGTTTTTGTGATGGCTTTTTTAGCGTCACCCTTCGCCATGTGAAAAATAATGTCACTGATCTTTAAGGTAGAAAGTTTGTAACATGAGTCGGAGGTGAGTGTTAACAATCATACGGGTATAAAAGCGTAGTTGTGTTTATAAACTACGTAATTAACTATATTTAATTCCAATTAAAAGTGATGGAGTATACCTGTTTTTTGATTAGTTAATTAATTACTACTTCTTTTGATTACATTTTCATATACATATATCAATTATAAATTAATTAGCTATTGCAGTCGTATTATACATTTCACATGCTAATTAAATATTAGTCATAATACTCATAATTAAGCTTTTAATAATTTATTATCTATAATAAATCACGGGATTAATATTTGTGGTGCAATTTTATTCAGCTTCCATCGCATGTGATACAATAGCTTGCAAGTAAAAGTTGAATTTTTAAATGTAGCGTTAGTATTTAAAAAATATATATGTTTGTTCCAGGTAATTAAAATACTACGTACTTTTTCAAATTTAAATCAATCGTACTAAATTATTCTTTGTTAAAATGGAATACGAAAAATCGAATGAAAAGATTTTGTAAAACACTTTTAACCCACAAATATTTTTCTAAAAAAGTTTGTTGTTAGGGCTAAAGCACCATTTCGCGTACTATTACTCAAGAGTTATTCAATTAACTAATTTTACTCACGAAAATGAACTTGAGTTAAAAAAATCACTCGATAACGCTTAAAACGCTCCCGAAAAGTTGACAGTTGTAAAAAAAGATATTCTATAGCGTCATTTTTCAAGCGTGTTCATCCTGTCAGAATTGGTACACCAACGCAATCGTACTTGCTGGCTAATGGAAAAATAACGAAATGAATAACGTCAATTTTAATTTTTATTAATCATTTTTAAAATAGGGAAAAATAAGTCAGTGTGACAACGCCATTCATTAAACACTTCTCTTTTTAGTTTAAATACGGGTAGATACGTGCGCCGATGAATATTTAATCGACGAGGCGGTCTGGCGATTAATATGAAAGAAAAATTAAGTGCTCTTTCACGTTGTAATAAATATTTTATTATTATTTATAATAGTTTATTTTAATATTTCAAGGCTGTGGCAATTATACAATCGACACAAAAAAGCCAAAAATAAATAAGATGACATATATATTCCTGCAGAATAATATTACAGAACCTTTGTTATTGAATATAAAATAACAGAGCACACACAGTCGAAATGTTTTTTAAACACAGTGTCAACTCCCGAATTGATTTTTTTTTCATAAAAACTTAATTGAAGAATGATGAAACGTGAATATTGCGATTGATGTTTGCACGTTTGTATTAATTGTGTCGGACCCAGACAGTGTTTATTTTAATTGTCGAGTAGCCGTTTTATAGATGCAATATCGATACTTTGCACATTTATTCTGAAAATAGAGCGGTCTGTGTCTAGACTGTTGGCGTTGTGATGACCTGGTATATATAGGTAACAGTAAATTGATATTTAATTTGGATGATTTGTTTATAACGAATAATTTGACGAAAACTCATGACTGAGTGAACAATTCAAGGAGGCGTCAGGTCAAATCAGATTGGTGAATTTAATTAATGTTTTTAATATTTGGCCAAGAAACTTGTAATTAACACAGACAGACAGAGATACCACAGACAGACGGACGGAAAGCAACTGGTCTCGTAATCAATTCTAGTGCTGTAAGTATAGTTAAAAATTAAGAAAATTGTAAGCACTTTCGAAGCTTTGTTTATCTATGTTTTGCATTACAGTTTTTACTTGAGTGTGTTGCGTCTGCCAGGAAAATGAAGGTCATGAAGGAAGGGCACGGAATATGTTACCCAAAATTTTACAGACTATAAACTTTATAATATGTTTAACGTAGATGAAGCTAGTTTATGTTAGCGTCATCGTAACACTAAAAATGTTATTAAAGGGATTCACAGAGCAAATGAAAAGATTTATAGCAGTGATAAATAGTGTACATAATTATTTATAATTTCAGACATGTTTACAACGGGCGATTTTTAATATTTGGATAAAAAGGACTTGTGAAAAAACATCTATATTTTTTAAATTAGGGATGATCATCTCGTTCTGAATGTATAATGAATCTGGCTACACTGACACAATTTTAAGATACAAAAAGCAGTTATTGGACTTTCACGTTGAATAATTACATTGGTAGTGTGCGGACTGCTTTAGAATTAATATATTTATGGATTTTTTTCTTTGTCGTCTCAGTGCTTCTAATATCCAACTTAATTATTAAGTAAGAACTTCACTGCAGTCGCGTATGCAAAATATTGATTGTACTTGTTACTTGGTATGCTATGCTCTTCCCGAATGCAAATTGGGATCAATTATGTAGTCAATTTAGCCAGCAATACAATAGCATTCATCGTGCTGTATTTAAAATATTGGCATTTGCTGGTCTTTGGTGTTGGCATGACCTAGAAGCATCAAACAAGTGATGTCATGAGTGTTTGTTAGCGGAAAGAGATAAGCAAGAAAACTGTTTTTACCTGTCATGTTGCACTGAATTGCGAGGGAGAAGAATAACGAGTGTCAAATTAAAACATTCGTTTTGTCTGATAATTCTTACATATGGTTACACAGTTTGCTATATTTCTGTAGTAAGTTACAAGTTAGCTGTGAACATGGTTTTTACAGGAATGTTTATGTGAGGCGCAGAAAAAATATCTTGGAAGATCTGAATTCATTCGGGAAAATTATACCAAGATATATTAATTTCGTAGCAAAATTGCAGGCTGTCTGTGTCAATTTTTAATACACAGATAATCTCCGAACTATTGGACTGATAGTTGTCAAATTTTATGTGTGTTTTAAGAATATTGCGTAGATGTAAAACGCTAACAAAAATTTGTCTGACTATTCCCACGAACAGTTTGGTGACGTCATTTCAAAATTTTGCATAGTAAATGTTTTTAAAATTTTATAAAATAACATACTCCTGCATTTGTGGGCTATGAATCCGTCTAGATTTATTTTTATAATTTTTATTGTTTAATCCTTCATGTTTAGACACATACTTAACACGGAACTGAGTAAACGTGCTACGTGCATCGCCTTGCATCTGAAAGGTTACGGGTTCGATCTCATTCTAGCATTGCTCGAAAATTTAACAATACAGTAATATTGCGCCCGCCTATAATAATAAAATAATAATTATCGTAATTAGTCTTCGCATCTGATTTAAGGAAACAAAATTAAACAAATTTCATTTTCTTTCAACACAAATGCATACTTTTTATCTATCGCTCCCTATTCTGATTAACTGGCTAGTCGAACTTGTTCGGTGTATAAGCATGAATAGTTGAAGTTAAGCATGCAAGGGTGCCGGGAGTGTTATTTAGATTTTTTAGACTTTTCAGATTACCTTCAATTTGAAAGTTTGAACTGAAAATGCAACGATCAAAGACACACCTTCAAAAGTCCGTGGGTGTTAGGTGCAAGGAATTATAAAAGAGAATGACGAGCGCTACCGACTGTATAATTAGTACAGGTTTTCCCCCTAAATTTGTGGACTTGGCCGGACGCTTTTACGACTACTGCGATGTTTTCTGGTGTTTTATTCTCAAAGTAAAATTTCTAAAACCAGTTAATCGTTAGACAAGCCCTAACGTTGACGCATTTTAGTCCACTTTTACCGTTTTTTCCTTACCGAACGTAAGCTCCTTTCATGTTTTCTTGACCCCTAGAATACGAAAAAAAAAATTGGTGGAAGATTACTTTGACAGAACT